AAAAAAAGTATAATCATAACATCAAACGAAAGAGCAGATCCTTGGAGATTAATCATCAATACAGCTGTGGTCACGCTTCACGCTTACATTCAATATTGAGTTCGATATATAGACATCTATTCGCTTTTCTTTTCAATTCTCTTTCTCTCTCTTCGTCATCTTCGAGATAAGATGACGACAACTATTCAATTGGGAATCAACTTGTGATTTACTTCATTTCCCTCACTGCTCATTTCATTTGTTATGTTGATGATTCTTTGTTAATTATCAGACGTCGACATTTGTACATGACCACCGAGCTTGCGTCGTTGTCTTCAATCGACTGAAATGTCATACATTGATTTACTATTATCAGCCTCATTGATATCCTCGATTAGAATAACAGAAAACAAAAGTGAGCTTTTCTGAAATTAGATTCACTAACAGTTCATGTCATTAGTACGAAAGCAAATAGATATACATCTTTGAACATCCGACATACATCGTCAACATTGATTGGATTGAAGTGATAAGAAACGAAGAGAAGAAGAAGAAGAAAAAAGGCAGTATTGGTCAAGGTCAGCTTGCGCTTCTTTCCTCTCCCATCGATTAGTATCATAGGCTTTTGTATACATAATGCAATTGGATCCTATCGACAAGGTGTCGTCTTCCGGCTTCTGTAATTGTCGGGTCACTCGAGTAACACCAAGACTTTGACGCATATTAATCAAAATGTTTTCATCATCAGCTTTCCAACTGTTACGTAAGGTTATTGGAATTAATTTCCACTTCTTTCTCTCTTTCATATCTAGGCGAGGCGAGCAACATGCCGTGTTTGTAATTACTTTATCAGAAGCGAATGCCCAGCGTTTTCTTTTTTGTTCAAACATATACAACGATCTAATATGATTTCATTCGAATTTCGATCTATTTCAGATGATGTTTATCTTATTGATCATCTTTCTTATCAACAATGGTCAATCATTCGAATGGAATTGTACTGTTAATAAACACAGTCTTTTCTCCAATGATCAAACAACTGAACAGTGTACTATTTTAATTGAATATCTCTCATTACAACAAGACAAACAAATATGCATAACACATACATTAGCAGTAAGGAATCTTCCATTCTACTCCTTTCTGTCCAACTACACGATGCGAACGTTTCAAGTAACTTCGTGTCAATTGTTCACCTTAAGTCAACTGTCGTTTTCGTTACCATCGTCATTGGAAACTCTCGATTTAAGCTCCAATCTTTTATCGACATTCGTACTTTCGTATCCTATACCATTAAATTTAAAGTATCTATACCTCGATTCGAATCCAAATCTGCGCTACATGAAATTCGGTCATAACCAGCAGTTGATCGGTCTCAGTCTCCGTCATAATCAGCAACTCCAACTCTCATCTTTACCAAGAAATTTAGCACAATTAGACTTAACTAATTGTAGTTTAGCGCAATCATCTTTAGTGTCAATAGTGAAGTCTTTGAAGAGATTAACTCATTTATCCTTAGTCGACAATCAGCTAGAACGATTGCCTGTACTTGATAGAAGTATAGAACTTGAATATTTAAATCTGTCGAACAATGCTTTAACGACAATTGATGATCACTGGTTACATAAATCATTACGAATATTAGATTTGAGATTTAATCAAATAAAATCGTTGGAATTTTGCAAGGAAAGATTGAAAATCAATGAAACAGGTGGCGAGAGTCCACATCAAGTAAGTTTCATGATGATAGACACATCTCCAATGTTCTCCTTTCGTTTTTCTAGTCTTCAAATGTTAACACTCTTCAGTTGGTACTTTACGGTAATCCTCTTGTATGCGATTGTTGGCTCAATTCTTTAATAAATTCAACTGCTGTCAATATAACTGATTTGTCATATCTTCAATGCAATTCTCGCTCAATTTTACACGTTCCTTCTAGTGATTTTCAATGTTATTATACTCGACATTGCGCATCGGACTGTTCCTGTTGTGATTTCGAAGCATGCGATTGTCATTCTGTGTGTCCTTCCGAATGTTTGTGCTCACACGATACTCTTTGGTCGCATCATGTCGTCAAATGTCGACAAAAGGATTTGCTTCACGTTCATTCCCTTCTACCAGAAACAATCACTGAGCTGAGTTATGAAGAAAACCACATCGAACAAATTAAACCGTTCGTCTTCGTTGGCAAAACATTCTTGACAAAAGTAAACTTTGCGAAAAATCATATCCGAATTCTGGCCAATGAAACATTCTGTGCGGCGACGAATCTCGAAGAAATTAATTTGAGTTATAACTCAAATCTCATGCAAATTTTACCAAACTTGAATGAATTGTTTGCATGCTTGAAACATTTACAATATGTTATTCTATCGAATGAACAGGTTAATGATGGAGAAACGATCAGTTTCGGATGGAAAATTGAGCAAAGTGATGATTTGATTTATGCGATACGAACAACGGAACTATCAACAACAGGTTTGTCTTAACAAAGCTAGAATTCAACAATTTCAATCAGATTATTTTTAGTACTAACAGAAGATATCGCACCATCAACAACCAGTATTCAGCCGATTTCGGAATCGATTGCTGATTCGTCAAAATTCTTTTCGATATTTCATCAGGATTCCTATACTGCCTCGAATCTTATTCAACACAATCAAACCTTAATCGTTATCGTCTTTTTCCTACTCTTCTTTGTCCTACTCTTTCTACTATTATTGATATCATTAGCGATTTGTCGACGAAAGCTTCGTCATCATATCACAACTGAACTTGAACGACAACGAGCACAACATTATTACTACCACACGACTCTTCATCAACCGATAAACAAAACACCAGAAAGTCTTCCAGTGAATGATAGTCTCTATGAACAATTACCCTCACTATCGTCCGATAGTGAGCAACCTTTTTTATACAACGACAAGAAATTGATGAATGCGAACGCACCAGCTCTACCGCCGTATCCACCATCGTTTCGTCATTATCATTGTTGTCATTCTGGCAACGCCCATGAATATCTCTCGACGATGAAAGGTTATTCATCGCCCAATCTACAACAGCAACATCAAGCGTGTCAAGCAGTGCTGATTGTCGGCAGTCAATTAATTTATCCGAACCATCAAGAATGTATATCGGAACTACAGCAAAATTTACTTCTAAATCAATCAGAAAATAATCCAATTCACTATTGTAATAATGAACCAGTTTTTGTTCCTACGACTCTTTGTCGATGTCAGAGTCAAATGAAACAATCTGACACTTATGTTTGTCCTAATGTAAACAGATAGATGTGATTGTATATATAAATAAATTGGTGTTTTTGTATAGATTTAGTAGTAGACGAACGACTACGAATTTCACGTATGAATACAATTTTTGAGCAGTAAAAGTGTCCTATGATTCACCAGTCACCTTCTGCTCTGCTGTACTACGCTAATGTCAAGATTTCAGAGTAGTAACATACCTATGCACTCTCGTCTGCATTAGACAAAGGTCGCTGTTAAGCGATAACCGTCTGAATTCAACAATTATGACAGAATGAAAAAAAAACATGCGCGTATGCCAAGAATAATAATTCACTTGTGTGAATTGATGTAGTTTTTGTTTTGAACTAATACTGTATAAACATAGGAATGGCTGCTACGACTGCTGTGAAACCTGGTCCGATTGGTACGTTCACTTCGTAATTGACATGTTCTAGTTGTAGGATGGTCTCTTGTAGAAAATCGGACGACACTTTTTCGAACACAAATGGTCAATGGAAAGCCACAGATATATTTTGAAGAAATCGGTTCGTCAGCTCAGATGCTTGTTTCTTTTCCTTTATCATCGATGTATTTGTTAGATGAGCCTCAAGAGAAACCACAAACTAAAACAAAACGGAATAGTCGTGCGGTAAATACTACACGTGTTCCAGAACAGCCTAAATCGAAACAAACTGTTCAAAAACCTGCTCCTGTTCCACAAAGCGTTTCTACCAAACAACCGAAGCAAACGCATAAAATTGTTGTTAACGATAAAGATGCCTCTGTCGGTGTTTTCATGACTATGGAAGAAATAGCTGAACTTGTCAAAGCTGTGAAAGACACTTCCAGAGCTTCCAAAAATCCATCATTCGAAAATCAAGGTACTGTCTCAAATGCAGTTCGACACGTGAAAATCGCAGATTTCTGATGTAGAAATGTTACTACCACCACCATTGCCACCACAACCCCAAGTGGTTCAATCGCAACCAGATCCGCTACCACCACCGCCTCAGCAACAACAGCAATCGAATAATGTTCCTATTCCTCCATTAGATTTACCACCACAATCAAACACAGTATTATCCCTCGGCCAAATCTCACCTCGTGACGAAGGACTAGGAATGATGGCTGACAAGAAACGTAAGAAATGGATGCGAGAACGAGGTATGACGATCAACTTCGCATATTATCTGTCATTAGTTTGTTCTCTTTGTAGCGGAAATGGATCGAATGAGACTTGAAGTTGAATATGATCAATTAAAACATCAGTTATCACCTATGAATCAAAATACTTCTACATCGCCTGGTAAAATACCAAACAACAACAGCAATTTCATCGAATTTCTCTATTGTTCCTTCTCAATTTAGAACGTATAGTATATCCGTCGGATTTCTCATCGACCAATAAACAGACATTAATGCCAACTGGAAAACCTGCAGATAATTCTGCAAATGACTATTCCAGAACAGGCTTAGTGGAAAAGAAACAACAACAATGGCGACAAGAAAATGGTAAGCTACAATAGTATGTTCCTATTTAATGGTGATGCGATCCTTTCTAGCGGAGAAAGCTCCTGCGTGGAATCCATTTGGACGTCCAGGTGCTGGTGCTCCGAATCTTAACGAAGTTGATCAGAGAATTTCTGTACGTGACATTTGTTTTTCTTTGTTAGATTCCTTTGAATTTGATATTTTAGCAACAACCTACAAACGTTGTTATGCCATATCGTGTACCTGATCCTTCATCAGTAACATCAAATATTGTTATCAATGATCAGACACGTGTACCTGCTGCTATGCGAACAAATCTTTTACTTGGCGACGTTCGATTTGAAGATGATGTCAAAGTTGCAAAAGAAATGGAACGACGGCAATGGTTAGGTGATCTCCAAAAACAAATCGAAGAAAACAAACGGAAGAAATTCACTGAGCAAGAAACAGAACGTCGGCAAGACTTTCTGCATGAAAATGTTCAGCCTATTGTGCAAGATGCAGCCAATCGTCATAACCAACAACAACAACAACAGCATCAGCCAAAAGATTCATCGCCCATTCCATTTACTAATACGTCAACAGCAAACCCTAATCCACAAGAATCAAGCAAGTCTCGACAACATGATACATTGGTTCAACAAACCTATGAGAAAATAGTCGAAGCAGCTGAATTAGCTAAGTACGAGAAGAAACAACAACTGATTGAGAAATTGAAACGAAATGGACATAAAACAGATCTGTTAGCAAGAACACTACCAGGTAATTTTGTGTTCAATTGAATCACTGTGCAACGAGATATATCTTCCGTAGAAATGAAAACGCCTATTCCACAGCCGACTCAACGAACCACAGATAGATATCAGGACGCTTCACCTAAGAGAACTACAACAACAACAACAACAACAGCAGCAGCAGCAAAAGTGGAACCTTTACATTTGAACACAGCTAATGATTATCAGCAATCATATCGAACTAATGATGCACGACGAGATGAAGCTGTTAATACCATGGACTCCACATTTCGAAGTGACAATGGTGTACAAACTGATCTTCGAATGATTCCTCAAAATCAAATGTTTCATTACACACGCGAAGAATCAGATCTTCCTCCACAAGTTCCCAACCATCTTATTCGCGACGGCAAACAAATGAAGAAAAACGTTCGTATTCGTTCCCAGGAGGATCATCAACGTCAACGACGTTCATCTGTTACAAGCACACATTCGAAGGTTAATCCTCAGGATGAAAATACTTACCGAAATCCATACGGTCCACATGATCTTGTTCATCGACCTCTATGGAATTATCAGAATCCTGGCCATCGTGAATACGTCCCGAACTCGAAACGTGATCCAAATTACGAAAAACGACACTATCCAAAACAGTCAGGCAATGAAAGAACTACAATCGATCGCAACGATAATATACAAAAGCGAACAGCGTATAATCGATGGAATAGCGATGGTGAATTGCAACATAAGCGAAAAGAAACGAAAGCATCGAGTCAGAATCAACCACGTTCGATTATTTCCAAACATATTCAATCTCAACCACAACAACAAGAACCAGCAAACATACCGAGAGGACCGAATAAAGAAAAAACATTTGCTTTGATGAATAATGAAGATGACTCAAGTTTTCGTAATATATCGACATTAGACAAATATGAACATTTTATACCATATACGAGATCAGATGAAATTCTTGATCCAGCTCGAGCATTTTCACCTCTTCCACAATCGCGAGAATCTTCAGCTCATGTCCAACGTTCCAAAGTATGTCATCACAAAGAACGAACATTTCATCTCGACAAAACTCTTCTATATTTAGCCTACGACATACACTCATGATGATCATCATCATCATCGACGACCCAATGTAAATGTGCAACAACCGCCTTACCACGTGCCTCCATCTCAACAGCAACATATTCTCCAACAATTAACAGCAATCAAAGAAGTTCGTATAATCGGGTGGAAACTTTTTTAAACTCACGCATGCATTTTATTCTAGAACTTAGTTCGACGGCAACAAGAAGTTGCTACATCCATGAATGCCATTCCAGTTTAATTGACAATAATCATTGTTTTCTCGCTTAGCGGTTCAAAATAACTTTGTGTTCACTATGCGTTTCGTGTTCGTGTTAAACTCTAATAAATATTCACAAATTAAAGTCTCTTTTTCTCAGGGAAAAACGCCTCGCAATACAAGCGAACATCTGCTCTGTCCTTCTATTCAATAGATGTCGCTCTTGTCAGCTAGTCTGTTGATAATTTGATTCATATTTCTATTCGATAACCGTTGATTACTATTATCAATGGGTTTTCTCTTCCCAAACTATTCCAGATACATGTCACTCAAGAAAATATTATTTCAAACGCGGTCAGTCTCGTCCGTTATCTAATCATAATGAATTCATCGTTCTCCTTTTATTTCTTTCTGCCCACTGTATTTACTGACTATAATACGATGTTTTGTTTGTCTAAGTGTGTTTTTTTTACATTTTAATTTACGTCGTTCTATCATTTGAATACAACGAAATAAGATTGTCTTCTTCTTCTCTCTTTCTAGACAAACTTCATTTCAGTCAAGAATCGAGTAATACTATGACCATGTTTTCAGCCGTTCGTCGATTTTTCAAATTTATTCACTGGCTCTATTTGCAATATTTACTTAACACAGCATTATACATGCTCGAACCATGGGAACGAGCCTTGTTTTCAACATTGCTTGTTGCAATTATATCCACAGCGATCTACTCCGCTTGGGTTTTTCTGCCGCATCATCTTCGTTCGATGATGGAATTGTATTCGTAATTCCGAACAAGTATGGATTGGGACCAATGGGGCTTTTCGCACTTCAGTGAATATATAACATGTATTTTAAACCGACTTACCTATTGATCTATTTCTTCATGTCTCGATGAGATTGAAATAAAGGAAAAGAAAGCAATCATTTGTATCTTCCATGTTTTTTTTTCTTCTAATGAATGTTTACTTACCTGTCATCAATTTTCTTTTCTATCCATTTATTATATGATATTCTACCGACTACAACTAACTATGCATTAATGACAGATTCTTTTTGTCCCTCGCCATCTTTTGTTACCGATTAAACGTACGTCGATTGTATTGTCATTTATCTCTTTTCTTCTTCACTCTCTTCCTCTCACTGTTTTTGCACATGCGCAACAAACCATGCATCGCTAACCCTACTTCTATCTCTTGCATTCCATTCAGAACGACTCGAGTGATTTCATTTGAAACTCACTTCCCAGTCTTCTTGTGCGCTTTTTATATTCTTCTAACGACGATCAGATTTCTTGCCATTTACATTTCACATATACACACGATCGATTTTTGCGACTTCTATATTTGCTTTGATCGCTTCTTCTAAAGTTCGCTTTTTTTTACCGCGCCCCTTGTATTACATCCATACATATACGAGACCATTTCACCTGAGCAATAGACCATAATTCGAGTAAATAGTCTGCCTTCCTTTTTCTATATCTCACAATGACAAGTAATATAGTTCATTCGTCATGTTTAGACTCAAAAATGGTAAGCAATGATTCTCTGTCGGTAATATGTTTTGCATGATGCCAGTAAATAGCTTAACTTGTGCCATTTGAATGCTAAAGAATGTCGCGCAATCGGCGAATTTAGTTTGAAATATTCGTTTTTTTCCGTTTTACGTAGACTAAACATGAACGGCAATGGTATCAATCATTCACCGAAGCGATCGAACGGATGTATATGCGATTTCTACTAGTGACAACACTGTATGTTATGGAGCCGTGGGAACGATATTTAGTGCTCACCATTGCTTTTCTTGTTATCACACTTGTTACGTATTCCGCAATTGTTTTCATTCCATTCCACGTTGCTAATATCATTCGATCAACAGTTCCAATTCTAACCGATGTTCTTCTATATTGAACTACATCATATCTCTATTGACTTTATATGTATTATTTTTGTTATGAAATGCAGTTCTTCTACCTTTCGTTTCGTGTGAATGAAAGACAAGACTCATTGACATTCTTTGTTGGATCAAAACGAACAAAGAGAGGAAGAGTATGATCTAGACGACGGGTGTCCTTGCTTTCTTTGTTCGATAATATTTTGTGGATAATTTTCATTTTCAGATTGACTTTTTTGAAGAATTAATCGTCTTTCATGGATATTGACTCGGAAATGTTACCAACGACTGTGAGTATGTCACACTTAGATGAAGATTTAATGGGACGATTGCGTTCAATCACAACAAATAATCGAGAAGATTTAATTGCTCAATTTCGCGCAACCACGAATGCGATGTTAACCGATGAAGGTTGTACATTTTTTCTTGAATTAAGTAATTGGTAAGTAGCAAATGAAGGATACTTGAGAATTTTTGTGCGATACCGGTCGTTTAGGAATTTGAATGAAGCAATTCTTGCTTATTATGATGCTGAAATGCCCACAGATAAAATTCCTCAAATGAGATTCGTTGGCGATGTAACTATAGGCGACGGTGAAGCTATTCCACCGAATACGAAATTTGTCAAAACTTGGCGGGTGGAAAATTCCGGTACAGTCTCATCGAGATATTTTGTATAAAACAGCGTATTTAATGTTGTTTCACAGGTACTGAACGGTGGCCAAGTAGTTGTTCATTACGATTCGTTAACGGTGATCGTTTTCAAGAACGCGATGAAGTTTACGTTAGTTCTCTAGCACCCGGTGAACAAACAAATATTTCCGTCCATATAACTAGTCCAAGCGGATCACGAATCATTCGATCACAATGGCGTTTATTTACTGCAGCGGGCGTACCATTTGGAGGTAGGGAAATTCTCTCGGTTAATTATGTATAATATAAACTCTTCTTTGTAGATCCCATTTGGGTGGTAGCAAGTGTCGAAGAAGGCGGTTTAATGGGCATAACTCAACAGCTCGCGCAATGTCATTCTCTTGGATTGAATTCTCCAGCACATATGCAACAGGCCAGTCATGCGCTTTATCAATCGCCGCCATCGAACCCATTCCAATCAACACGATGTACGTGAAAGCTTAGTCGTATTTTTATGATTGATTTTATGATTCCGATTAGATTCCGGACCAAGTTCTGATCCAAACACGCCAAGTGGATCTGTATGGACAAATTATTCGCTAGTAAATTTTTTCAAGAAAGAAAATCCTTTGTAAGAAATGTTCTGTCTTCCAGGGTTATTATCCACATATTACGAATTTTCATCATGCAACAACAGATTCTTCGACAGCATCGGCGGGAATCATCGATGACAATTCTTTGGATACGTTTTAATCTACAAAGACAACAAAATTGTTCTTCGTTCTTCTACTTTTTTTATATATTAAAGCTTTATTTTTTTTCCGTTGAACTATTTATGTAGATAAAAACGAAAGTCAGACACGATTAATAGATTGATTTTCTAAATACGACCTATTGAAGATGAGTCAGTCGACCGACACAAATAAACAAACAAGTGGATCGACAAAACCATCACTACCGAGCCGGGAAGACACTAAACGTGAAAAAGAAACGACATACATCGACACTGTTCTCGAAACCAACGACAACGAATTCGTTGGAATAGAACGACTTCGCAGACAGATCAACGAGCAGCTAAAAGAATTTGAAACATGGTACGCCAAAGGAACATGGTTGGATTTCCACAATCACCATTACGATTGGTGGATGTTTCCAAGTGAGTTCCAACTGATCTCATGCGAATAAACCATCATTTATCATCAATAGTTGATGAAATCAGTAGTCGTGGAAGAGCGTATTGTTTGCCTCCCGACGTACTCAATGAATTAAAACGAGACAAGAACTTCGTTGACAAGCTCCGCCGAGGTGTTAAGCTCATGGTCAGTAGTTGGGGATGGGTATGTTCGAGTTGTAATCCTTCATTGACATATAAATACTTTTTTCCCCAAGGATATTGATGCATGTCGACACTTTGATAAGCGAGCTGACAAACAAAAATGGTCATATTGGCCAGTTCGATTGTACAAAGCTGGTAAATGCATGTGGTTATTTGACCAAAAGGATTACTACAAATCACTGAGACGATTGGCTGAACACATTCGAGACAACGACAAGGAAAAACTCGATTATTTTTCACACACTAAGAATGGCAAAGCTAATGTGATCGAACAATGGGATGAATTAGAACGACTTTAATACTGTTTTATTCGTATTTGAATAAACTAGACCGCTTGATGATATTGATTAAAAACTGAGTGTATAGATCTAGAATTCGTTCGATCGACTCTCTTACTCATTTCTTTCTTCATGCAGTAATTAATAAAGCGGAAAGAAGAACACTAGATCACAAATGAAAGGAAACACATGTCAAATCTCTTGGTAAATGTATTCGAATAATCAGAAGTGATAATCAGAGAAGAAGGATCGAGTACAAAAGCAAATCAATGTTTAGTTTTGTCTCCGTGAATATTGATTATGCTTGATGATCTAGCCATTTTAGTTATTATACCTCTTCTTTCGCTCATGGTTGCTTACTTTATTGAATATCTTCGCAAAGTGAAACTTCGACGACAAAGTCAACAGATTTATCTTCTAATGACGCAACTATCATTGAATGAAGAAGAAGCTCCACCGGCGTATGACACTTTATTTTTTTGAAAAGATGTGCTAAAATACTTTTTGTGAAAGAAAGAAAAAACAAACGACACTACTTGGACTATATGAACTATTTCCTACGTCATAGGTATGGTTAAAGCGAAAAATAAAAAGAGAGATAGAGGATAATCAAAATTCTAGTTCTATTTTTTTCCTTGTTCGTTGAGTGAAGCAGACGAACCATGAGTAGCTTCACCTTCATTTTTCGTTCCAGGACGACCTTCATGTGGATGAGGTAATGGTTGAAGTGTTGGCACAACACCCCAGATATCACGTGCGTATTCAGCGATTGTACGATCACTGGAAAATTTACCTGATGCGGCGATATTTAAAAGACATTTCTTTGTCCAAGCAATGGGATCCTGCATAAATAAATAAATACTGAAAAGAACACAACTTCATGAATCAAACTTACTTTAAACAGTTCACTGACACGTTCTTGACATTTGACATAGCTTTCATAATCAGCTAAAAGCATGTAACTAAAAAAAGACGAGAATAAATCTTTTCTTGTTCTTTTCTTTCCGACATACTGATCGCCATGGTCGTTTAGTAAACTGTCCACGACATCATGAAATAAATCGGGATTCTCAGGCGAGAAAAAGCCATCGCGAATTTGATCAAGTGCTTGCTTGAGTTCAGCATTCTTTTCATAGAATTCTTTTGGACGATATCTAAATCGCAGCAAGTTTTGACGAGTTCACTCGCATGTGTTTTATTTTTCTTCGCTCATACCCTTCGCTTCTGCGCTTTTCGACTTCTTCAACAGTCATACCGAAGATGAAGATATTCTCGTTGCCAACTTCTTCAGCCATTTCTACGTTGGCTCCGTCCAATGTACAGATCGTCATCGCACCGTTCAACATAAATTTCATGTTCGATGTACCACTTGCTTCCATGCCAGCAAGCGAGATTTGCTCGGACAAATCGGCAGCAGGAATGATTTCTTCTGCCATGGTCACACGATACTGAAAAAAGCAAATTTTCCACGAACTCAGTACAACTATCAAGATTTACATTTTCAAGAAAGACCACTTTAAGACGATCGCCGATCACTGGATCGTTGTTTATTACTTTGCCCACGCTGTTTATCTACAGAAAAAGAGAAAGGAGTCACATTCGATAATCGTCTAATTACTTACTAGTTTAATAATTTTCTTGGCCATATGATAACCTGGTGCAGCCTACAGATACAAAAATCTTTACATCATGACTCTCACAACTGCCTTTCACTCAAACCTTTCCACCAATCATCACTGTACGCGGAACGTATTTACCATTTGGATGTGCTTTGATTCGATTGTATAATGTAACAACATGTAAAATATTTAACAATTGTCGTTTATATTCATGTATACGTTTGACTTGCATGTCATAGATAGACATGGGATTGATTTGTTGGTGTTGTGTTTTCAAGAGCCATTCTGCTAGTCGATGTTTATTTTCTTGTTTAACTTGTTGAATGTCGCGAATAAATGCTTCGTTATTGACAAATTCTCTCAAACGTTTGAGATCATCGAGTTTCGTGATCCAATCTTCACCGATTTTCTACAAAAATATGAAGTGACAGATAAAGAACGAAGTGCAAAGAAGCGAATCTTTCGTTACTTCAGCGATCGCATCACTTAAATTTGGATTGCTTAGAACTAACCAACGACGCGGAGTAATTCCGTTGGTTTTGTTTTGAAATTTTTCAGGTGTTAATTCATAGAACGATTTAAAACTAAAGATTTACGTTCAAAAATATCGCATGATATGAACGTCTTTTCTACTTACAGAGTTGTCTTCAAAAGTTCCGAATGAATTTGAGCTACGCCATTAACTGCGTGTGAACCCTAGAAGGTTCTATTGCAGAAAGCAATGCATAGATTTCATTACCCTACCACAATAGCCAAGTAAGCCATATTGATACGTTTATCATCACCTTCTTCGACAATTGATAAATTTCGAATACGATCGTTATCACCAGGATAGCGTGCAGCAACTTCCTAGCAAAAATATCATGTCAAGTTTTGTGCACTACATCAAAGATTCTTTACGTACTTGAAGATGACGTAAATTAATTTCGTAAATGATTTGTAAATGTCGTGGTAAAACATGTTCTAATAAGCCAACTGACCATCGTTCTACAGCTTCAGGCATCAATGTATGGTTAGTATAGGCACATGCACGTTTTGTGACATCCCAGGCAGTTTCCCATTTTAAACCTTCAATGTCGACTAATAAACGCATCAATTCAGCAACAGTTAATGCTGGATGTGTATCATTCAATTGAATTGCGACCTTTGAAAGAAAAAGATTTCATTAGAAGGCAATCGCGTTCTTGTATTTGTCTCTTACTTTATCGGGAAATGTATTAAAATCATCGCGCGTTGATGACGAGACGCCGAATTTCGAATGTTTATAACGACGAATAATATCCGAAAGTGTAGCAGCGACAAGAAAATATTCTTGTTTCAAACGAAGTTCTTTGCCTTGCATGTACTAAATGTAGAGCAAAGCAATTTTCGAATGGCGATCAAAATCAGACAACTCACGTTATCATTGGGATATAAGACACGAGTTACATTTTCAGCTAAGCTTTGTTCGCTAACTGCGTTAAGATAATCTCCATCATTAACTAAACAGAGAAGAAACAGAAATTCACGAGAAAAGTGGTAATAATTAACGAACAGAATTGAAAGTTGAATTTTTGTGGTGCTTTGGCACTCCATAGTCGAAGTGTATTGACAACCTAGAAAATGAGGAAACATTCGACATCTACACATTGAATTTTCATATTACGAACGTTGTTATTAAAACCTGGAACAGGAGTATCATAAGGCATGGCCATGATAACTTTTGTGTCAACCCATTTGGATTTTCCGTTCTGTTGAATAACACGGCCGTAAAGGTTAACTGGAATTTGATACTCTGGTCGAGGTATTTCCCATGGATTTCCATAACGTAACCTAAAAATTCATATAGATAATCTCTTTTCAATTTTTTCGAAATCATTTTACCAATCATCAGGTTCTTCGCATTGAAAACCGTCTTTAATGGTTTGTTGGAAAATACCAAATTCGTATCGTAGACCATAACCATAACCAGCAATGCCAAGTGTGGCCATGGAGTCAAGAAAGCAAGCAGCAAGTCGACCAAGACCACCATTACCTAAGCCAGCATCCTCTTCAAATTCTTCCAAATCTTCAATTGCTAAACCAAGCTAAACAGGCAAAAAACAATTGCATCCAAGGTGCAAAGAAAACCTTCTCATCCATTACTTCATATAAAGCTTCATCTAATTCCGATTCGATGCCCAAATTGATCATCATATTCGATAACGATCGTCCCATGTAGTATTCTAATGATAAATAATAAACACGTTTTGGATCACTATCATAATAATGTTGTTGAGTACGAATCCATCGGCCAACAAGATGATCTCGAACGGTATAAGCTATCGATAAAAAGTAATCACGATTCGTAGCTACATTGCGATCTTTGACGATGGTAAAGTGTAGATGACGATTGAAAGTTTTTTTCACGGATGCGACATTTTCGAGTAGCGGAAGGCCACGAATGGAGATTTGCTTGCGACGATCTTTGTCGGTCAACGGAGCTTTTGTCGATGGTTTCGACATAATCGAAATCTGAAATAATAAATGCAATGTACTCGTATGCTCTCTTGCTAAACAATAAAAAAACACATAGACATTCGCACTTTAGTAAGAAAAATAACGAATAAGAAACAGAAAGAAAAATGCACACGTAATTTGTATTCCTTTATATACCGTCGAAAATGGATGTTTTGTCGTTCTTCTATTTCGACACACTAACATGTGATAGTAAACATCTAGGCAAAGGAGAAGCATCAAGGAACAATAAGTAACATGCAATAGATATAATACACTGCTATCAAAATCGAAATCATGCATGAAATGTGTGAAACAGTTTAAGGGCATATGACACGATTCGATTAGCGAAAAAACATTACCTACGCATACTTTTCGTGCACAATTAGCGACTATTTGGTTTAGTACATGTGTTATATGTGATTTCAAAGACAATGTTTGTATGAAAAAAAAACATGACGTCTAGCGTTTAATTCAACACCACCTGCACTCTTATCTTTGTGATAGTTTTCTTGTTGATTGTTTCGTATACTAGTTTGATCTATTTCATTTATTGCATTCTTGGGCACGTACAAAGTAAGCAGTGGGGTACAAGTATGACTATGGGTCTGTTTATCAGAGTCTATATTTCAGGAGAAAACAAAAGCGCAAAACAAAACAATAACTAATAAAACAAGGGCCTATTTATGTTTTTTCTTTCCATAGAATTGTTCCATGAAGAGCCCAGCGAACACCAACGCCGTGCCAAACATCTGTTGCTTCGATATTGGATTTCCAAAGATAATCACAGAACAGAGAATAGTGAAAAATTTTCGTGTCGTGGTGAAAATCGAACATGTTAATGGACCAAACCATTCGATGGTGAAAAAGATGCCAATCTGAAATGAAAGCCATTACATAATGTAAATCGAAAACAGATTCAACTCACTTGACCACAGGCACCAGCTATACCAAGTAAAACCATTCTTGTCATCACTTCTGGATAGACGGTTAAAAAGTTGTACAAACCAAAGATTTCACCAGTTGCAAACACACCAATCGATGCCCATAAACATGACCAAGTATTCATAGAAAACATCATGTGAAACGCTTGAACTCTATGTGCATCGCGAATCTTATCCTGAATACTACCGGTAAGACCATCAAATGCAAGGGAAACAATCTATACAGAGAAGTTCTACAAAGAAAATGCTGAGTAAGAACTGACCAGAAGAAATTCTCCGATGCCGATGAGTCCACCTGTTTCCGTTGTTTTTCTTGTCTCCGTCGGTTTTTTATACATGAACAAAACCACTCCTATGGAAACAATGCATCGTCATCAATTTCAAATGGAAACCATTTCCTACCGAGAACAATCAATAAAACATAGAAGTATTTCACTAATGGATATCTTTTTCTTGCGACTAATACACCTAATAACATGACTGGAACTGGTTTAACTGATTTTCCAAGTACCTTCAAGCAGAAAACGTGCTTTCTTCAAAGGAAAGTATCTTTCTTCTTACCTGCATAGGATAACTAACAAATTCTAGTGCGTAGTTACTTGCAAGCATGGCAAATAGGTATGTAAATGACGAAATCGCATACATTCTTGATGGAGTTGTATCTCTATGAGTTTGCCATGACAGGAGAACGATTTTTGAAACGATTGCATTGAAAATACATTGAAAGAACACGAGCGAAATAATAAAAGTAAACTTATCATTTTCGCCGTACTTTTTTTTGATTCTAACGAAGCGATAAACTAATGCATACTCTCTCTCTCTCAAAAAGAAATTCTTCCTTCTTACATCGACTCCTGAGCGATACCAAATCCAAGATAGGCAACGAAAATGCCGAGAAAACAGATAACCAATCTAACTGTTGAAGACGCAAAAAATGAAGCTGCTTGGCGATGATGGTGGTGGTGATGATGATGATGATGATGTTCGCCATTAGTTGCAGTTTCGTCAACCATGATTAATCGAAGAGATTAAGCAAAAAACCGTTCGCACATAGATTTTCTCTACGTGGATCGTAGGGAGAGAGAGAAACTTGTCAGATTGTCGAATGGAAAGATAACGAAGCAATCAAAAGCGAGTGAGAGAAAACGATACTCTGACATCTATAGACAGTGTGGAAAGGTTTCGAATGAAGTCAAATGGCTGATTGAAGGAGTGATTAAGCTTTTCCATTTACTAGAACGAACATGGCTATGTCGGTAACGATGGATCAAGTCGTCAAACGAGCGAAAGATAGTTTCGGACAAATGTTTGACAAAAGTCTTCATGATCTCGTTCGTGGCATTCGAAATCATAAGGACAATGAAGTAAAATATCTTGAACAACAAAAAAACAGTGTACTATCTTGTTTTGTCACTTAAAGGCAAAATACATCAATGAAGCGATCGATGAGATCAAGCAAGAACTCAAACAAGACAATATTGCGGTGAAAGCGAATGCTGTGAATAAATTAACTTATGTAAGAAGCGTATTTCAAGACTAGTTCCACTCGAATGATTGTATTTATCTAGCTTCAAATGCTTGGATACGATATATCATGGAGTGCATTTAATATTATTGAAGTGATGAGTTCTAACAAGTTTACATTCAAAGTAAGATCAAGGCTTACGAAGAAAACAATGAATGATTGATTGGTTACTTTAGCGAACTGGCTATCTTGCTGCTTCGCAATGTTTTCACGAAGGAACAGATGTTTTAATGTTGACAACCAACATGATTCGAAAAGTACAGAAGATCTCTCGTTGATTCTTCATGAGCGATTCGCAAACGAAAAAAACGAATCTTTTAGGATCTTAATAGTTCGTCAATGTATGAAGCTGCTACTGCAATGAATGGTCTTTCATGTTTTATCAATGGTGATCTGGCTCGTGATCTAGCAAATGATATCATGATATTAGTAAGACAAATGATTGACACATCTTCGGTGGATGTTAGCTGGTTTCTTTGAAGATGTCATCAACAAAACCATACATACGCAAACGAGCTGTTCTTCTCTTGTACAAAGTGTTTCTTAACAATCCAGATGCTTTGAAACCTGCATTTCCTCGATTGAAAGAAAAACTCGAAGATCCTGATCCAGGTAAACTAAATTTTGATGAAGACAATACGCACGATTCTTGTTTCTTTCAGGTGTTCAAGCTGCTGCTGTGAATGTCATTTGTGAATTAGCTAGACGTAATCCGAAAAATTATTTGCCTCTAGCCCCAATCTTCTTTCGTTTGATGACAACATCAACTAACAATTGGGTGTTGATTAAAATCATAAAACTAGTAAATAAAAGACTATTTTTATAGTTGGATGCATTCATTTTCGTTTAGTTCGGCGCATTGACACCTCTAGAACCTCGGCTAGGCAAAAAACTGATAGAACCATTGACAAATTTGATACATAGCACCTCAGCTATGTCTCTTCTATATGAATGTATCAATACTGTGATTGCTGGTAAACATATGAAACGATTGAATGAGAAAATCATACACTCTCTGCATGTTTTCAGTTCTCGTTTCCATATCATCGGGCTTACCTAATCATAATGCATCGATTCAATTATGCGTACAAAAACTTCGCATACTTATCGAAGATTCTGATCAAAACTGTGAGTAACATAGAAGCGAAACAAGAACGAATGTTCGCGTTGGTGTTGTTTAGTGAAATACTTAGGATTGCTGGCAATGTCAAAGATTTTACAAACGCATCCGAAGAGTGTACAAGCACATAATGATCTAATCATGCATTGTCTCGATGACAAGGATGAATCCATACGTTTACGAGCGCTTGATCTTTTATCCGGCATGGTAAGAGACAGAAAATGAAACAGATTAGATAGAATTTAGTTCTTTTAGGTATCGAGAAAGAATTTGATGGATATCGTTCGTAAATTGATGGTTCATATGGATAAATCGGAAGGTTCACATTATCGAGATGAATTACTATCGAAAATTATCGAGATTTGTAGCCAAAATGATTATCAACACATCACTAATTTCGAATGGTTCGTGTCCAATTCATTTTTCCATTTCTCCTTCCATTGATCAATCCTTTGGTTACATAGGTATATAAGCATATTAGTGGAATTGACTCGTCTCGAAGGAACGAAACATGGAAATCTGATTGCTTTACAAGTGTTAGATGTTGCCGTTCGTGTCGAATCGATTCGTCCATTTGCTTGCAATCAAATGGTAAATATTGATCTAGTGTCAATAGATTGTTTCATGTTTTCTCTCTCATCAAGGCAATTCTTCTCGCTAATGCGCATGTTTTTATCGTTGGATCAAATACGACAACTGTTGCTGAAGTTTTGTATGCAGCTGCATGGATCTGTGGAGAATTTTGTTCGTACGTACTGAGAAAAAATTGATGTTTAGTGTAGAGTCCATTCTGTATTTAATAGATATTTAAAAGATCCACAAGAAACACTCCAAGCAATACTAAATACAAAAGTGACTCTCTTTCCGGGTCATATTCAATCAGTTTACTATCAAAATATTCTGAAAATTGTCACACATTTAATTCAATCATCGAACAATGACCAAGCTTTTACCAAACAATTGATTTCCACGACTATTGAGAAGATGTCGACGTTCTTATCGAGTGGTGACGTGGAAGCGCAAGAACGTGTATGTTCTGTTTCATTCAATACGGAATACATTTCCTTCTTTAGGCAAGTGTAAGCTTACATATTCTCAAAACAGTGTTGAAACTTCTTGAAAAAGCGGACTTTAATATCAACGAGTTATCAGTCTTGTTCGAGGGTTCACTTAATCCGGTCGCACCCAAAGCGCAACGTAAAGTTGCCGTGCCCAATGGGTGAGTCAATCGGTTCTGTTAATATTCTATTGTTAAATGATTGATTTAGTTTGGATTTGGACGCTTGGATCAATGAACCACCCTCGGAAAGTGAAGACGAATCAGTTGTTAGCGAGACACATTATGATAGCAAAGGATTGTTTTACGGAAATAGCGAAAATAGTTATAGTTCGAACTCGTATGCAAATGAGGCATCCAGTTACCAGAAACCAAGAAATTACGTTGAACCCACAGCCGACGAATTAGAACAACAACGCGAATCAAGAAAACAAAGTGAACAGATGAATCCGTTCTATTTGAAGGATACAAAGAAATCGAAAGCTACGCCGAAGGTAGTGATGAATATTCGAATTGAAAATTGAATGTAGCTTTTTTTTTGTTAAATTATAGACAGAAACGCCTACGACGACGACAAATGGCAATGAAAATCTTCAGTCTTCTCTTTCGAAAGGAGCGATTCCTAGTAACTTACAGGTCTCTCTTTCCGATCAACTGTATCGTCAAGCTAAAATCGATGAAGAGAATCGTCGCCTGAAGAAGAAATCCAAAGTTGATGGTGCATCATCGAAAAAGGGAAAAAAATCCTCGAAGAAATCCGATACAGTAGCTGCTGATGACAATGATGATGACATCTATCCAACGATTAAAGTCACACGTGGTGGTGAATTACCTGAGGGTGCCACCGCCAGCGGTAATGAAGACAATGACGATGATAATAATACGAAAGTTGGTAATAAAAACAAAAAATACGACCCACATCGAGCATTAAATATCGATCTGAATGAAGTTCCTAAACCAATACCTTCACCTGCGCAACCGAAACAATCCCCTCAGAAACCCGTAGACGTACCTTCTTCTCCCCCACCGGAATCTCATGAAAAACCGAAAAAGTCCAAGAAAAAGGCAACTGCAGAAAAAGAGGCCAAAGCGACGAATTCGAAAACTAAACTGAAAAAGCCTGAACGCAGCGATTACAAAGAATTGGTATCGCCAGTCGATGATGAAGAAACATCTGCTCCACCACCACCGGCTCCTTCAACCATTCCTAACGAAAAGCCCAAGAAAAAGAAAACTAAAGAGAAAAAGTCCACTTCAAAAACAGCAGCTGCCGAAGCCAATCAACCTGCTCCGCTTCTATTCGATATCATGAGCGATGAGATTCCCTCGTCAAATCAATCTACTCAACAACAGAACGAGCAAGATCTATACAAACTAGCCGCTCAATCGGACAATCTCACTGTTGTAAGTCATTTACTTTCTCTCCGAACGTCTTTCGCCACCAAGAGAACCTTCATATTTTTAGGAATATTCAATCATCTCGAAAACATCTGCAGCTGAACTCGATGTGACCTTTCTTCTAAAAAATCGCACCACATCGATCATCGATCACATTAGTATACATGTTGTCGATAGTATGAGTTCGAAGGTATTGAATACAACCAGTGCCAATCGAATATCGTTCCCAAATGTAAGCCTCTTTCCTCATGCGCAAAATTATCTCCACGTATTCTTCACTATCAATGCAATATCCTTCCCTCAAAAACTAAAAACAACATTATCCTGTTCGGTCAATGTATGTTTCCACTGTACTAGATATCGAATCATTGTTTTCTTCATCATTTCAGAAATCGAATCAAACAGAAAACGATACAATTGAATTTAAACTTAATCTACCTTGCTCGCAATATTTAAGAAGAAAGTCATTGCATTCGTAAGTTAATTATCACGAAAATCTTCCCATCATTTCTGTTATTTTCCACAATAAAGTGATGTGTTTGTGGATCTGATGAATTCGGGAACATTGACATCTCAATCAAATGTAAACATCTCAACAGACAAACAAAATTTCACATCGATAATCAATACCATTTGCCAATCTTATCGCTTAACCAGTTCGTAGAATATTTCTACACAAATCCTTATTTTCATTTGTCTCATTTCAGTTGTGGATAACGTCAACTCAGCTGCCTCACTCTATGCTGAAACAATTCTAGGTCATCCAGTGGCGCTTTTAATAAAATCTACCGTATGTCAATACTGTTTATCGGACGTCTACGTACTTACTGTCCTCTCCCTTTATTTTAGAATTCTCCATCAAATATCTCAATTAACGGTAAATCAACAGAAACACATTTTCTCTCAAATTTATTAGAAGAAATTCAAACATCATTCAAATAATTCTCCTTGCTTTTCTCTCTCTCTCTCTGTCTCATTCCATTATTTTTATTTTTTATTTATTCCATGGACAGTATTTATATATATTAAAGCTCAGAAAAGCCAACAGTGACATTGATAAATCCGTTATTTTTGTGTCGTCTACTCCCTTTATATTTTAAGATGAAGAAAAAACACAGTACCAAGTCAATCTCTTTTATGTGTTCATCTGACACGCATTGAACTCACTGTTTTTGTTCGGTTCGGAATGAATCTAGTTAATTAACGTGTATCTGTTGTTATTTTTTCTTTTTGTTTTATTAGAATTACTAATGTTATATGCTTATAAAAGGAGAAAAATGAAAGACACATTATCGATGAAATATAAAACCTACAGCACAGATCTTTCGCTTAACATAATGTCCGCATCGGCACTTTTATTTGATAAACAATCGGTAGTTTATGTTGATAATTCATCAATTCATTATGGCAACTAGCACATACGTATGAAAACTGATTTTGCTCAGGATGTCCGCTTGTTAGCATCAGTTGTGGTTGTTTCATACATCGTCGACACATCTGATGCTGATGGGATGATGCAGTGCATTGAACTGGGAAAGAGTTTCTCGTTTCAGTTTGTTGTGATATGAGCGCATATTCAAATTCAACGTTTGAATCGGTTGCTAGCTGTTTACAATGTGGATATGAATAAGGTGCGTAGATTGATGTTGTTGATACATCGGAAGATTCATAGACAACGGATCGATGCAAATTGAAATGGCGATAGGCGAAGTAGGCCAGAATATACAACGAGCAGCATAGAATACACAGACAAGCGCAAACTAGTTGAACACTTTCAAGGAAACGCTTGGACATTCGAAGGGAGTCCGACCAAGCAGTTAGACTTTCATCATACGGACAACTTATAAAAAAACAGCGTGCTGGATCGATGAGAACGAGAATATCGTAGGCGATCAATCCAACACATAACAAAATCATACAAAAGCACAAGATCAAAGTAATCCGACGCCAAAATAACTTTGGTAAACATACTAAATACAAAAGATCGACCAGGAAAGAAATTTATCGCCAAGGTATATTTATCTACCTGTGATAAGAACACATATCGAGTTAGTCGTCAGAGGTACGAAAATAATGAATCCACCGAATGCTGTCGATCGACGTGCATCAATAATTGTATGTCCAATTTCCATGCCGAGAATGTTAAAAGAAAGACAAAGTAAGATTGTTCCAAGACTGGCAATCCAGATACGTGGCCATTGTAAATGCCATCCATAGTTATTGAAAATCGTTGTAGCGATATGTCTACTCGATTGCATTTGTTTGTCTTTTCATTGATTTTTATTATTGAAATATGGCAGAGCAAACGACGAAGACGAGAAATCGAAGTTTTATTTCAATGAAATGAAAATAAAACGAAAGCCTTGATTTTGTTATGTCTTTTATTCATTAATGCCTACGTTAACTAAACAAGCAGATTTCTTCCCTTTTTTTCTCTCAAGTATTCGTGTATGCAAATGTTGAAACAAGTCTTAATTCAATGCATTCTCGTTTTATATCTCGAAGAAAAACATATGTCTAGCATTCTGACGAATTTGTCAAGTGTTTTTGTATTTACACGGTTCCCGAACGCATGTCTTCTGTGATTCTTGTAGAACACAAAGCTTTGTACGAGAAATCAAATCAAATCATATTAATAAATACACACCCACTCTGGAGGCGATAGCGGTTACCACTGAATGTAAGAAGTTTTACGTATCATGCTTCTCTGTGACGATGTTACTAATCGTATTTTATGAGCATTATATTCCGTTGAGTTCAAAGAATAGAAACGCTGTTGATTAATCGAAAATGAAATCAGCCGTATTTATTGCCACATGATACTATTTATGATCCTATTTCATTTCAAATCAAGTAATGCATTGTTTCCACGTATGACTTCGCAAAATTCAAAACATAATAACAATCGATTACATAGCCGGAAATCACGTCGTATGGAAATGTTATTACACTCACAAGTGACTCAAGTCTTTGAATAATCAAATAGAATCGTGCTTTTTTCCATTCTTCTTCTTTTTTAATAAGTCTATCAAATGACAGAATACAATCAATTAAATCCAGAATGTTGTTAGTAGACGATATTTCCGATGTCTGTAAATGTGAGAATCGAATGTATGATACTCGACCGGCATCTTAAGCATATACCTCGAAGAGTATATATGAGTTTGCACGGAGTAAAATTGTTTCGAGGGTTTGAGGAAATGATTTACCTGGTCGGGCGGCACGAAATCTCGCTTATTTTTATAATCAAATGAAGAACGAAAGTCTATGTGCCGAACTGCAAACAGTCTTGTACTTTCTAATAGATCAGGTTGAACGGGTCCTTTAATAAACTCGCGAATAGAATTCTAGGAATCTCGGTATATTTAGATCTATTTTTCCTGCAGGATTTTCGCATTTGATATGTCTATAACATTTCATATAAGCAAACTTCATATATAATTCACTTCACTTCTAGCTTCATAGAATATTTACTCTTCTGAAAGGTCTTGCATATGATTTCCGCTCGGCAAATGTTTTCCACCTAATATATCATCAAACATGTAGACGTGTGCGCGTGTATAGTCGTGCTAAATGTTCAAGTAGTGACTTGAAACGTAAGAATGAGGTTTCAGATGAATGTGAGACGCGAGAGCAACTTAGCAGATCGCCTGTTCGCGCTCATCAAGCCGTGTTTTTCAATTTAAAGTATTTTGCATGTTAGGTTCTGGTCGGATGTTTATTACATTCTATTTAGACGGCAAAATGAGAGAAAGTAATTACGTGAAATGGGCGACGTCGTTCTTTTTTCCATTCTCCTCCGAGTTACTTTTCTAAAAGCAACTATAAAATATTTATGCTGAATAAAAGAAATAGGAGCGGAGAGAAACTTGTGAAGAGTGTTATTTTTCTCTTTTCTTCGCTCACCACTTTGCTAAATTTGTCTCCAATGAAATACGAGACTGTGAGAAAAACGGAAGTCTATCAAAACACATGAAAAAGAAGAAAAAAATAATATGCTTGTTAGGAAAAATATGAAAGAACGGGAGAAAAAAGGAGAGGTTTATTGACTTAAACACAAAAACAAGGTGCAAAAGACGGAAAGAGAGAAAAGGTATGAGCGAGAGAAAAAGTAGAGAATGATAGACGAGTGTAGCCGTCCTATTAATGATCATTTTAACGTTTAACATACTCAACGACAGTTGTCCTCTGCTGCTGGCGGCAGAGCTTTTCCCAATTACATATCGCAGGCGATTATCCCTTACGCAATTTGAATAAATTCAAATCAAAACAAAACAAAACAAGAATATCATGTCTTTACAACAATACTGGCAAACACAAAACTCTTTCTTCGATTTATCGGCTGGATCGATAAACAAACTCGGTTATTGCAACTATTTTACAGATCCACAACAAGAAGAATACGACGGCGCCAAGGTAAGATTTTCAGCTACGAGTAGGCAAAGTATTGTACGGGGAATATTTTAGCCACTTCGAAAACGTCGAGATGATACTAACGATATTATCAATCAACTCTTCGACGCAACATTGGTACGACGACCAGGTCAACGTGAAATCGTTCGCGTCGGTGGACGAAAGAACAAGAACGAAATCTTAGGTTTAACAAATGCTCGTCTTATTAAGAACATTCATTTAAATGGCGACAAATATTCACGTAAGTATTCGCATCGTTCCCGAGAGAAAAATCTTTACTTGTTGACTCTTCAGGTGACATCGAACTTGTACGTGGTATTCAAACAAACGTGAACAATGGCGATTTTATTCTTGTCCTTCGTACTGATGGTCGCATCATCGCTATGAGTGATGAAGTTGAAAATCATTTAGGCAAGACAATGGTAGGATCCGCATGTTATTTGTATTCTTCTCTAAAATGAACAATTGCTCTTTTTAGCGTTCATTGTACACTCAGTGCATGAATCTTTATGATTGTCTTGATAAGGCCGATCGAGAAAAGTTACGTGACGTTTTAGTAACATCCGATGACGTGGCAAATAAGGAACATCAACTTGTTTGCACTTTTCGTTTACCGAAAGGTAAACGTCCAAGTCGAACGCGTGAAGACGTAAAGGTAGATATAATCATAACTGTTCTACTTGTTATGGATTGATTTATCTAGGCAATTTCAATGGCTGGCCATTTCTATTCATGTCATGATGCATGTTATGATCGTTTATTTGTTGCTCGTTGTCAAGCTTTAGTTTCTCGTACAACAAACGAGACGAGTTCATCGCAAACAACTTTGACGAATACATCAATGATGAAAATAACTTTAAATGATGATATGACTGTTAGTATGGTCTCATCAAAGTAAGTGATCAAGAGAAAGAGGAGACTAACTGTATTTTGTGTTTTCCCTTCAGTGTCAAAGATGTTCTTGGTTATGCACGAAATGAAATTATCGGAAACTGGTTTGGCCGTTACTTATCATCAGAAGATTTGGAAAAATTCGAAAACATTCGGCAACTATATTGTAAGATACGCCTTGATATTGGGCAAAACGAAACTGAACCGTTCTCTTTGTCTATTTAGATCAAAACGAACAACAAGTACCAAAAAGTATTTGCGAATTATTCGATATCTACTCAAGTCATGGTGAAAGCCGACTGACATTCTTATGTCAAATTCGACCAATACGTGAACGACGTGCAAAATCAATCAAATATGCCATTGTTGCTCAACTAATTGAGTAAGTTCGCTTGTCATCAATTGAAAAATATATTGAAAAACGTGTCTTCTTCATTTCTATCTAGTCCATCAATGCGAAACGAATATATGAAGTATGTTCATGATGAAGCTGAACCGAATCAAGTGACAATCAAAGTCGAACAAGTAAATCTGGGTGCGCAGTGAGAGAAGGGGTTTTTACTAGCAAAGTTTACGTTTTCTATTTCATTTCAATTAGTTTCCCCGCCAATGCCTAAGCCGAGCGAAGATTCACTCATGGCCGATAGTCCGTCGCTCTCCATGGGTCTCCTCATGTTCGACAATGTCAACAATAATGAATGTAGCCCACAACAACAACAACAACAACAACCGTCGCCTATCTCTCGATCACTCTCAAACGTTGTTGCACCATTCATATTCGACGATGAAACTTCAGAATTGTTCCAATACCAATACGGTCAAGGTTCAACCAACGCACCTATACAGTACTGGCCAAGCAAAGTCATCGACGATACATTTATCAAGTATCAATTTGAACAAGAACTAGCCAGTATCGATGCACTCATCAATGATTTCTAAACACATTGGAACAGTGGTAGATCGCGCACGACTTCTCAATAGCTTTTGTTTTCATTTGATTTTTGGATTTTGTTGCAGCAGGTCTGTGCTTAACGAATCTAATTGATCTCTCGTCTCTTCTTCGATAAGCCGGGTGCTTTCGAACTTATATCTTGATTGTTCTTCTTTATCTATATATTCTAATCTATATTAGCTTATTGTCAGTAATCTGCTCTTTGTTCATCGATGTTGTTAGTAGTTTGTGAAAGCAAAACTGTGCGCGATCTCCCGGTGAACTCGTTTCTTTTTCTTCGATTTTCTTTTTATTTTTGCTGTTGTTTTCAAGTCTCCTGATTTTCTGCATGTCAATAAAAATTTACTGAAAAAAAGACGACTGCATCTCCATATATACCTGGCTTATCGTTATGTACATATTTACTGGTAGACGATATTTGATATGCGCAAATAATCGATGCTAGACATCCATGCGTCTGTCTTTGGCATCGCTACTTAAGTCTCTGAGAAGAAGAAAAAAAGCAAATTCTATGAACAAGAAACAGTTCTTGGAAACTAACTAAGCTATTCACCTTGCACATTGTTTTTCTTGTTTGATGAAAAACTTTCTGATAGACTTGCCTTCAATTATCTGTCTATTTCCGAACGGCATTGCTGACACGCTAATCTTCTCGACTGAAAGCGTTCTCTCCACATCCAGGGACAACGTTTTTCTGATCTTCTTGGAAGACATGAAATATAAGACTCCAATTTCAGGCACTTTCAATATTGGATACTTCTAGAAGGAAAAAAGAACAATTAGTGGGATGCAAAATCAACATTTACCCATGAGTATTAATATTTATATTTACTCAGTAAAATGAACGTTAGTGATGTAGAAATATTTCTCAATAAATCACTTGTCTGAGTATCTCACGAATTAATTGAAAAGGTAGTCGTTTGATATTCCCTGTGTTCAGCAGAGAACGAACATAGACAAGTCTAAAAATACCGGCTTTGATTAAGTCTTCTTGTAATTAAGTGTTCGAGAAAGGACTGACGTCATCAGCATTTTTTATGGACGTCTTCCTTTTTGAAAAATATCATGGCAAGGAGCATATGTGTGACTCCTGTTGCTATTTTTACTATTGATATTTGCATCTCTAATCTGAGGGATGCTCATACAATATGAATTAACTGTCAGTTTGTGTGCGTTTGATGTTTCACTAACATGCAGTAGATGACGTCGTTTTGTTTCTCCTATTCGGGCATTTGTCACGATGAATTAAACTTCAGGACACGTTAGATTGACAGAAATGAGTCTTGATTGGATTAAAAATGCTGTCGAAATCAATCTCAGTTGAAAACATCGACAAGAACAAGAACGTAATAAGCATTCTCATTGAAATCACTTTCGCTTTGGACACAAGTGTCAGTTATGTTTTGTTTACGCAAAGAAAGACTAGTCAACGGTACATTCTCTAACGCATACGTATAATTATAATTCGGAAGTTTTCAAAATCGAACACATACTTAGGAGAAAAAAATGCGTAGTTTTAAGTACGCGCATTTATGTTGATTGCTAATCAAGCATTCAGCTGGTTTATGCGCAAGCGCGAAAGTGAATGCAATAGGAAAAGTCACATTGAAATTCTTTATTAATTACTAATGCTTCGCAGATAGACAGAGGAAGTCATTTGGAAGGCGAGGGTGTTTGTTATTTGTTTATGGAAAACCTTGACTAGAATCTGAATTCATAGTATGGGTTTTTTAATAATGAATTTTAACCTGGAGTACTCTACGATAGAGAAACTCTAAGGCGCAAAAAAGAAATTGACATATTCTCATCACATAAATAACTAAATAACATTCATCGAACTCCTCGTCGATAAATCGATGATAAATTTTGTTTAATAAAGATCGTTCCACGGGATTTGTCATGTCAGTTAGATGACGAACAATTGTGACTTTAATTTCACATCAAACATTCTGTAGACTTGTTAATAAAAAGATTAAATGTTTTCTATTTGTTCATACGACAAGATAATGAGTTTGATGTTATTCTTTTAGACATTGTTTCAAAGCAAGACAGACTTTAATCTATAGGAACCATCGTCTATTTTGGTCAACGAGACAGACACTATTGCGACGTTGGCTTATTCTATAAAAGTTTCCAATCCATTATCACGCTAATGCTGAAGAAAACGATCAAGAGTACTATTAAATCTGATGGAATTTATGTGAAAAAAAAGTAACATTTGTCAATGTTAATCTACTTAGCAGTTGAGTAAACTGAATGAGGTGTGATCCTAGAAATGTTGCTTCTCTCGCGTGTATTCATGTGACAACGAATACCGAGTGTAGATTTGAATTTCTCATGTTTAAGTAAAAGAAGAAGAACAAGAAATATGATCAAGCACGCAATACAATACAACACACTCATGTGCGCGTAAAAACAAAAAAGGCATCAGTTTGTGCTGTTAAACACATGAAAACTAGACAAACAAGCCAGAGAAAACAAAATGTACAAAGCCTATGAAGTAAGAATCAAATTGAACGATAAATGAAGTGGTTTTTTTTATTCTCGGAGGTAACCGATATTTATGTGTTGTCGAAAGAAACAATCGTGTCTACGAAATGAAGTTGTATTCTTCTGCGTACTGTTCTTCAACAGAGACTATTCATCTGTTTTAATATTGATTAGTAATAACAACTAGAAGATGTTCACCATCGGTCATTGTTGGGCGTGATGGTGGTGTACGTGGACCATTGGAAAAGCTCATTGATGGGCACATAACTTGTAGAAGCTTTTTACTGAATACACACGGCGGATATACATTCATAACAGCCTTTTCTTGATCCTGAGAATGCAAGGGAACCGATATGACACCAGCAGCTTCTTTCCTACGAGAGAAAATCAAAAATTGTTTGAGTGAAAATGATCCGAATTTCTGAAATGCTTACGTTGCAAGGTAAGTTATCAAATGAGAAAGTGACGATTCGTCATCGACACGGCTATCTGTATTTCTCTTCGATTGTGAACGTTCGTCATTTTCATCTGATGATGATGCATGATTGGGTGATCTTCCTCTTCCATTAGGTCGACGTTGTTTCGAAGAACCCGAATTCACGTTGATCAAATGCGCCGTTGGTGAAGTAATCAAAATCGCGAAATTTATTTGACTTGATTGCTTTCGACTACTGGATGATGTTTGCCCATTGGCGCTCGAGATTGAATTGCTGACACTTGTACGAATCTTCTTCTCTAAATCATCGAACTTATGCGGATCCAGACGTAGTCTTTGAGTAACGTTCAATGCTTTCTTATCATCTGTATAACTGCTCGATTGGCCTACGAAAGAAAATGTTTGAATTTTATTTCTCATAGAGAAAGTCTTACTGAGAACAGTGTTCGCGAAATTCAAATCTCCAGCAAGGAAATGCATACGTGCATCATACGCGTGCGATTTGAGTATAAATTGGACCGAATAAGCAGTAGGTAGAGTATTTCTAATCTTGGTATTCAGTTTTTCACATAAAGTTATGAGTTCATTAACATTGTTGATGTTGTTCGTATCATCAGGTGACAAATACGAACCGTATGGACTGTAGAATGTTTGTCCAGCAACAGGTGCAACTGGGCTTGGAGTTCGTCGTTTCGATGGCGCGGATGCGGGTGAAACTGGCGAACGTGAGTGCGATTGTCTTTTGAAATTTTTGTTTGCATCTTGTTCATCATCGCCAGAGACTGATCGAAGACGATCTTTCGGCGAACGAGAACGTGCTAATGAAGCTGAAGATGCAGATGATGATCGAGATGTTCGTTGTTTGGATGCATTGTCTTGTGGGCGAACGATAACGAAACGTCGAGCGGTTGGTCGGTCAAGATAATCAATTCGAAGACCAGCTAGAATGAGGAAAAAAACGTCAGAAATGTTATTTCTTACATACTAATAAATTCACCTCGACGAGTTGTATCCGATTGGCCCGATTCAGTTCGTACTTTTCGCCCGTCGACTATCTGCGTTACACCTGTCATTTTTGCACGTGCAGCTATGGCATGTTCAATGTCACTATAAGAAACCACAGCTATTGGATCACCATTGGAGTAATCAAATGATTTTAATTGTCCATAACGCGCAAATGCTTGCTCAAGATCACGTCGCTTCATATCCATTGCTATATTGCCTACCCACAGACAATTGGTTGGTACGATTTTGCCTGAAATATATATACATATAATTCATATGGGCATATAAATTCATCGATCACATTGACCAAAATGATGCGTAAAATTAAAGAGAAACAAAAAGAAGAATCTTGCAAACTCCCTATCATTGTAATCAATGTCATATTAATATAGTAATAAATGAAAAGAACAAAAATGTTTCTATGAACGCATAGTAAAAGAATATCAGCCAACTAAATTGACCAAATTAATTAATGCATTATCATGTGTGTCGAAAGAAGGATTAACACAAGATCTTTTAGAGAGAAGAAAATGAAAGAATGAGGGAGGGATCCAGTTTGTTTATATATATATGTATATATGTATGCATATATCAATGACATATTATCACCAGTAAGATAATGACCAAAGTTGTATCTCTATGGCATTTTGTTTCTCTTGTCAAATGGATATGAATGTGTGTGTATACGTATACACTTGCAATTTAATTCATTATTTATCATCAAATGTGTTAAAATTTATGTGATAGCTTTCCTATACGAACACTGTTCTGCTTTATTCTGTTCTCAAACGCAAATGCATCATAGCTATAATACGCCAAATAAAAATTGTGTATAGATAACACAATGAATATGAATTTTAAATCGGAATTTCTAAAATATAAGAGCTATAAAGGTCAAAAACAGACAAGACAAAAAAGTAGAAGATAGGTGTGCATCAAGAAGCATATGCATATGTATCAGAAGCCACGAAAAGCCAGCCAATTTGAAGGAAAGAAAGAGTTGATTTTACATACCGTATCCTATTTTGCAATCGGCTTTACCAATGAAATGTCCGTCCATCGCACGGCGAGCTTCGTATGCCATGTCCATATTTTCATATTGAATGAAAGCATACGCGCGTTTTGATGATGATTGAGGAACTTTTAAATCAACTAAATTATAGGTTGACAAAAGAAAGAAATGACGATTTCTGAGCGAATTTAACAACATACTTTCTTCAATAGTTCCATAACGACCGAAAACCTCTCTCAATTTTGATTCCCTGACGTCGCGTTCGAGATTTCCAACAAATAGAGTACGTGTTGGTTCATGTTGAACATTCGATTCAGTTCGGCCGGCAGCAGGATCATCATGTTTTGTATGACTCTTTTGTGCGCCTGGCGATGCCGACTGCGAACGACTTCGAGTGCGACGCCGTTGACGTGGTGGCGATGGTGAAGCATGTGTTTGTCGACTAGACTTTGAAGCAGCGTAGTCAGCTAGATCAGGTGGTATCGGTATATACGGTGAATAGTGTCGACGACCACGAGGTGGTGAGGATGTATGATGAGGTCGGCTTCGTGAACTGACTGGTGGTGGACTTGGTGACGGGCGACGTTGTCGACGTTTGGGCGAAGGTGGAGAACGAGGTGATCGCGGAGAACGACCACGTGGACTCGAAGCATTGATCGGTTGCTCAGCTGGAATTGTTCGACGATAATAAACGCTAGAGAAAATAAACGCTTGTATAATTTAGGTTTTCCTGTAAGGAAAAATACTGACGGTTCTAGAAGAACTTGCATATTTTCCCAAACGAGTCCTGTTTTTGCATGACGTGCTCGTCTTGCATCTTCACAATTTGTAAAATTAACAAAAGCAACACGTTCCTGATTACGGTAGTAGATTTTCACCAAATTTGTACCATATTTTGTGAATTTTTTTGCGCACAGTTCTCGTACCTCTACAACAAGGAAGAAAAGCATATTCGTTTACGTTTTCATATGGATCATTTACCGAGATCTGGTATTTTCGGATTGATATTTTTGACACAAATTGACGTGTAAAGTCTTTGTTGATCATTGTTATTACTGCTAACATCGCCCGAACTTGATGGTTTCGAGCGTTTTGAAGGTGGTGCAGCACTGCCTGATGGCGAACGCGAATAACGTGCTCGACGAGAGCCACCAGCACTACTTGAAATAGGAGGAGAACTCATATTTGGCTCGTTTCTTATTCTATCTGAAAATGAATATCGATATCGATTTTGACGATGATTAACAGTGTTGAGAAAGTTATTATACAGATAACAATGCTCGATGGTATACTGTGGATTTTTTAATGTTTGAAGGAGGAAAAAACGTTCGATGCAGTTATGCACTTTGCATCACGTAATGTAGGTGGACACGGAAAGGGAGAAAAGAGAGAGAAAGGGAAAAAAGTGAAAAGTAGCGTAGCGAAATAGAGCAATCGATTCAGCTATCGAAAAATTTTTAAAAAAATTTAATTATTTCAGCGTTGACACATGCGTCCAGTTTCTTATCGAAATATGTATCTAATATGTGAGTGTCTGCATAATTCACACAGAACGAAATTGCTATCTGTTACCATACATGGACAGTCGTATGATCTTAAAGTTTTCCGTGCGTATCATTTCGAATGTTTCGTATTGACAAAATTTAATCAGGAAGTGCAATACTTGTTCTGTTATTCAAATTATCTATTTGGATCGTGGAGGAAAAAAAACGCTGTCTCTCCACAACGAACTGAATACTCGCAAATCGAATGCGCAGCATTTTAAGCATACTTCCATTGTTATCGATTTACTTTGTTGGAAAACTATTTATAGGCATCACGATGCAATCTAGTTCTTCGGCAAAGTTGAGTTTCCATGGTATTTTAAAATGCAGACACACTTGAAAAAGCGATTTAAATGTTTTTCCTAAGTACGTATGTTCTCGAAGGCATCGTAGGTATACCGGCAATGTTCATGTGAAAATATTTATGACTCTAGCTTCTATCAAATCTCAGCGTATCTTTTAATTAATAAACATAAATCTAATGGAAGCATAACTCCTAGCAGCAGTTATCATTATCTGATAGTGTAACCCGTTATCGAACGACGTCGGATATTTTGATTAATCGCCGTGCGCATTTTGCCGCCGAAATGCATAACCGTGCAGGAATGGGTTCAAATAGGTTAGACTGACTATATATGTGATGACTGATGTAATTTATTCATCTATTTTTAAGGTAAGGTGCGTTATACATTTGATTATTCTGTATAGACGAATCAGTGAATAGAACGGGTACTCTATTTCTATGTTTTTTTGTTTAAGGAGGAAAAAGAGAGAGAGAGCAGTGATTCGGAACGGTTTTATGATCATGGGTGATGATTGCTTCATTGCTACACTTTCATATTCAATTCGAATCGGACAGCATTGAAACAGTAGAATGACTACGAGTGATAGATAGCAGGCAAAACTAGACAACTGAGATAAATAAGTCGAATCGATGATAAATTGTCTATTTTTCTGTTGTTTTGTAAAAACATTCAGCTCATACCTGTTTTAGTATTTCGCTTGTTATATATAATGTATATTCTACGATTTTAATACTGAATATCATTAATTTTACATTTTAGCATCTGTAAATCTCATGACGTACGATGTGGAAAATCCCGGGGTTGGACCCCCTAATGCGTTGAAATTTCATATCGATGCAGAAATGACTCAATTCGAAGAAGTGGGCGGAACCTGCGCAAATCGCGACAATTTTGATGAAGAGTGTTTTACAGTTCGCAGTGTAGTGATCGGACTCATCTTCGTTATAGCTACATCGTATCTTCATCAATGGACTGTTTACACATTCACTCGTACGTACATTGGTCCGATGTTAGTTATTATGTTGATCTATCCAATCGGTCGTTTTTGGGCATACGCTGTGCCCAAATCAAAACCATTTACTCAAAAAGAGCATGCATTGGCACTGATCATGTCTAATGTGTCTTATATGTATTACCTGCAATTTAATTTTGCCACGGCGGCAGCATTACCATTGCTGGAAAATGATGGTCTGAATTTTTTCAACTATTTCTTTCTTGTTTTGGCATTTCAATTCCTTGGCTTTGGATTGGCCGGTACGTTTCACGCGTTTTTTAAATTACGAACATTTTTTTCTCAATGTTGTTTTCAGGTGTACTACGACGGTTCTTGGTTTGGCCAACTGAAGTTATCTGGCCACAGAACTTGCCGTTCATTGCTATTTTACGCACGCTACATGAACGCGAAACAAGTGCAAAACAGCATTCGTATGGAACAGTGAAAACCCGCAGTCTCAAAGAAGTCCTATATCAGAACAAATTACTATTTTTCTTCCTAGTGACTGTCGTAGCATTTATTTACGAATGGTTTCCGTTACTTATCGCGCCCTTCCTCTCTGTTTTCTCGTGGATGTGTATGTTCGACATAAACAATCATTTACTCGGCCAATTAACTGCTGTTCGTGGTCTTGCATTGGGTGGCGGTGGACTTACACTCGACTGGATGAAGATAACACAATATCTTGGTTCACCACTCATTCTGCCTGGTTGGGCACTCGTTAACATTGGCTTTGGTTTCGTGCTAACCATCTGGTTTATCGTACCGATTGTATATGCCTCGAACGTACGACAAGTACAGTCTCGAGCTATTGCTGGTGTGATGTTTACAGGTATAACAGCGATGAATCTCGTGACATCATTCACATCGTTTGCATATATACCAGCGATTTTCGTACATACTGCTCTTTTTCATGGCTATGATCTTTGGGATCAACTCCGATCGAAATCACTCACTAATATGGGTAATGATATGCACGCTCGACTCATGTCAGCCTATGCATACGTTCCTGAATGGTGGTACTTCGCATTATTTTCAGCTTCCTTAATTACTGTTTGTGTTATTTGTAATCGTAATGATTGGTTACCGTGGTATTTAGTACTTCTATCTCTCGTTATTAATGCAACCCTTGTTCTTCCCGTTGGGCTTGTTTCGTCCATTACTGGACAATTCCTTCATAATGCACCGGTGTACTATCTCAATGTGATTATCTCACAAGGCTTTTCATTGGGAAATGAATCCAAACAGACGTATACATTCATCGTTGTTGGATATATACTCTTCGTTCAAACACTCGCTCTCATTCAAGATATGAAATTGGGACATTATATGAAAATCGGCCCACGTTATATGTTTGCTGCTCAATGTCTCGCGGGTCTTGTGTGTGCAATGTTTAGCATCGGTATTCAATTTATGAATTTTAATAACTATGGTCTTAACAATCAATATGATTCAAGTTTTTCCATATTCGACTTTACATTACTGGGTGGAAGTGCTTTTAATGATGTCGATGGGTTTTTCGCCGGTGCAAATACGGGAAACCGTGTTTTATTGTGGGCGTTTTTAGTCGGCGCATTGCTGCCCATTACTAGTTGGGCCCTATCACGCTGGACTCGATTCACTTGGCTGAAAGAGCTTCATTGGCCTCTTATTTTAGTATCATTCAGCTGGATGCCTGCACTTTTAACGGCAGGTGCACTTTTCACTTGGCTTCTCTTCGGCTTCGTAGTCTATTTCACAATTGGGAAGTACACATGGAGTCAACGTCATATTTATTTAACGTCTGGTGCACTCGATCTTGGTTTAAATTTGACTTTAATCGTTGTAAATATAGCTTTTACCAATTTTAATCGTGCATTTCCAGACTGGGTAGGTACGGCAGTTAACAATGGCTGGGATACCTGCAAGCAAGCCTTGATTGGCAACTCTTCATAAACACTGAGCATTGATATCAGTTTTGTGATCGAAATACTAACATTGTATGACCATACACTAAATTTCTAACATAAAATGGCAACTTTGACGAGCTTGTGTTCGTTCATTCAAAGATAAAAGCGGAACAAGAGAGCCTAATATGAATGAGACATAATGATTACACACAGTGAAGATGAAATAGTATGGGTTGCTACGTAACTGCGAGAAACACATAAAAGTGTTAGTTATAATTTGATTTTGATATTTATTTTTCCGTATTTTGGACAAATAAAACCGATCCTCTCCGAAATGTTTGTGTTTCTCACAGAAACGTCAACGTTAAATCACCACATTCCCTGAAAACACATTTGAAAATCACGAGATTGTGTTTGCCTTCGTTACTGAACAGTACTTTTCTCGGACTACACACGTCAAATTATCAGTAATGTTTGTATTTAACCCTAAAAAAAGAATTTGTTTCTTTTAGAGAAAAACATCGATCTCCATGGTACTATTATTTGATGAAAGACATCTTATCCAATCAGAAGTCTATTTTTTTACCATCTCACCTAGTTCCTCGTTCGCGTCTTGGAATAACACGATGTATATAAAGGAAAGACAAGTAAGATGTATCGTTTCATTCTTACCCGTCGAGAGTAAAGTATCGAATTACTTTCAACAACGTCACACTCGCCCGACACGTAAGTAGCACCAGAAGTGCGAACTGAAGATTACTTATAGCGTAATGATTACGATCTTTAAAAGAAGTAGATCACATTTGAACGAACGGATTTGCTTTGTTCTGATTATTAGAAAGGTGTAGCTCGATTCCTGACGATACGAGCTCGCTCTGTATTTCCAAATGAAAACGTTCAATAAATAATGAATATTTGCGTTGAATGATAGCTGCTTTGAACACTTTTCTCAGTAGTCTTATTAGTTTTCATATCGAGATAAGAGTTGTTTGAAACTGCTCGTCGAAGAAAAAATAACATTACTATTTAACAACATTCATCTGTGGAGTCTTTACTGCATCTGTCTCGAAATAATTGTCAAGCGTGATTTATCTCTCTTTTAGAAATATTTGATGTTTGGAAGGGAAATTTTTCTATTGACTGTTTTGCTAATATTTATAGAAACCTTTCTGACAGTTTAACATTTCACAGTCAGTTGTTGCTAGAGAACGTCTCATTCTTCTTTGAAAAAACAACGTTGATAAGAATTATTTTTTATTACATTTAGAACAAGCATACTACCAGGTGCTAAAAGATAATCATCGACATGGCTGATCCGAAAAATGTTCATACAAATCAACCAATGGGTCACGGAAATGCAAGCAATCCTTTCTTGGCACCCACTGTACAATGGTCAGTTGGCTTGTTTGATTGCTGTGATAACATGGGCGACTGTAAGTTTTGTGTCAACACGATCCGCATGACGTCATAGCGATGTACGTATTTTTTTCTGATTAGGCTGCTGTGCTTGGATATGCCTGTGTTGTTTCATGCATAGTCTGGGAAAGAGTATCAACGAAGATTCGATATTGGGCTGTTGCATTACGAGTCAAATAGCTGTTTATCGCATGAAAATTCGATCGGTTCTTCATATCGAAGTATGTGTTTAGTTGTCGATCGCCAACACGGAATGAATTGTATATTGTGACTATTTAACTTTAGGGATCAGCATTGAACGATTGTATGACAGCATCTTGCTGTGGAGTATGCACTGCTGTGCAAATGAAATCGGAATTGAAAAACCGTGGCTTGGCCTAGTCGCAAAATCGGATTTCTTCAAAACATATGAACATTCTCGAAATTCTTTATAATTCAAAATAAAATTTTACAGCACATTCATCGTTTTTAAAAATCGATTCAGCCTTGTGATCTCGTTTTGTTTTTATTTACCATACCAAAGCACCAATAGGGTAATACATTCATTTCTCTCTTTTCCTGTCTCCTTCACGTACCACACATTGACGCAAATTTCAAGGCGATTGATTCACGACATGATAATTCTTATTTTTCTGTGGATACTATTCCTGAAAATAGTCTACCATGATGATGAATGTGCTTCCATTGTTCATACAAAATCATCTCACAAATATCAAATCTTCTCATCTAAACATCATTGGATTGATTCGCGATTAAAACTACATCACACAACCATTCTTGGCACTCATAATAGTTATCATAAAAGCAACCGATTCTATCGGTATGAACATTCCGATCTCGATGTTCAATTGATGTCTGGCATCCGACAAATTGAACTAGATATTCACGTAAGTCATAAGAATTATCTTGTGTTTCATTTACAAATCATCGATGATCGAAGCAATTGCTACTGTTTTAATGATTGCTTATTGAAAATTCGTCGATGGATCGAGCGAAATCCCAGTCATTACCCTATTTTTTTATTTATTGAAATCAAGCAACGATTGTATGAAGATTTTCTCACGGCATTCACCGGTGGCATTCAATGTGAACATATCTACTCTCTGAAACAGCAAATTTTAGAAGTCTTCTCTTCTGATTCGTTGATTTTGCCGGATTTCATTCGTGGACATCATCGTTCAATAAAAACTGCTCTAAAAAACCAACGAAATGATGAGCTAGGCGGAGATTATGAATACAGAAAGTATGGTTGGCCACCGATCTCATTATCCTTGGGGAAAATTTTGATCAGTATCATTGACGATCGATTTAATCTTTTCATTGATCTAATTCCAACGTGTAAACCATTAACTAATTTCTTTTTCATCTGTCAATCCAATCTCAATGTGTCCTACGCATCGATTGTTAGCATAGGAAATCCACTAGGAAAAGAACAACTTATCATGTCTAGTCACATCAATGGGCAACTTACACGCACGTTGATCGGTTACGGTGGTGAGCAATCTTTTCGTCGATACATTCAAGCTCGACGGTATGGGATTCACATAATCAGTACGGATTTCGTTCAATGCAAACATTCCAAGCTATGTCAAAGTACTACCAGCGATTTTCCAGGTTCTACGCCAGTCATATGCAATCATGTACTCGCTCCGAGTTTTTGCAATCTATCAATAAACTATCTTTGAAAAAAAACAAACTATTTTTCTTTATTAATTTTATCAAAACAGAGATACTAAAAGGAAAACAAAGACGTGTGTGTATTCATTCTATGAGAGAAGCTGTTTCGATTTATCGTATGTCGATAATTTCAATTGCGACTTAGCTGTTGCAAGGCGTCGTTCTAAGAATTCGATATCTTTTTCAAGTTCATGTTCTTCATCATAATTCTTTCGCAGTGGACTGTTTGGAATTGTTGGCTTGGGAACTAGAAATGAACGCAAAGAAGCATGAATAATTTTGCCAAACGAAGGAATATTTACATTCAGAACGATCTAAAGTTCTGTTTTTATCCATTAATAAGAATGTTTTTGTCATTGCTAGTTCAAATTTGAGTTCACTTTGTCGATGCTTCAACTGGTATATTCGTTGTTGACTATTAGACTTATCCGCTATCTAAAGAAAACATCATTCAAATGGACATTGTTATCACGCGAAGACTTACAGTTGGACTATTCCATGAACCATTACTATTCGTCCGACGATCATCTAAACAAACATGTTTATATGAAATTATTTTTATTAAAGTTGAACGTTACCTTTCCGTGTTGACTTATTACGTATTTTAATTGAATTATTTGCATTTGTAATATTTGTCGGCATTGATGCAAGCATTTCTTCAAGTATTGTATTACTCATCGATTCGTAACCACTTGAACTGGCACGTCCAGATGCTGATGAAGCTGTACTACTTGTTGTTAATGGCATTAGGTCATCATGAGAATCTAATGTTACTGTTAATGGTGATATTAAAGGTGATGATGGTGGTGATTGAATAACAATTGTTTGTTGAGGATGCGATGAACGTAAACCAAATATACGTTGGAAAATTGACGGACGAGTAGTTGATTCAGCGAGACTAGTGGTACGTAGAGGTATTTGAGGTTTATTTGTCGATGTACGTGCACGTCGTGTTCGAGGAATGATTAACGGAGAATTCGGCACAGACGGATGCGTATCGTCAATTGGAAGAATTTTATCAAAACGCGTCGGAGAAACAATTCGTGATAGACGTTTTGTTTTTTCATCGTTCGACATTAATGATGATAGATGATCGATGCGATTTAATGATTTACTCATCGTTGATTGATTGTCAGTCGCATTCGGTACGATAGGTGATGGTACTAGAAGAGTTTCCAAAGTCTTCTCTAACATCTCCAAATCGTCATTTAACTTGTTTGTACTTAATTTTAGATTGAGTTTCGGAGAGTCGACTGTCGTCACGGGTTTCGTTTTGGTTAACAGTTGATTCGAACGAAATGGAAGTAAGGTATGATCTTTAAATACAGGGAGAACAGGCAGATGGCAATGTGAACTAACGACAGATTCTGTATCGAAATTCTTCGAATCTTCGTGATCATGCGGAGAGTAAGAGACAAGTTTCGCTTTGGTATGCATTGGTTTCGACCGATGTCGAGGAGTTGATCGATGTGATGAAATTTTAGGTGAACGAGGAGAGAATTGACGTGGACCATCGATCCAAATTTCATTCTTAGGATGTGATGAACTCAATGGGCCATCAACCCAAATTTCTTCGTGAGGACGATTGAGTACTGTTTCAACCGAAGTTGATTCACGTGACATCTGGAAAAAAAGATACCATCGTCGTCTTTCTTTTCCCATTCTGTGTGCACTCTTACTTTCGATCGAGTTCGTCGTAATTTAAGTAGTCGTTGAATTTTCGAATATGATTTCAATTGTTTATCGTTGGTAATAGTTGCTAATATATACAAAAAATGTTCTTCAATATTAATCACGTATTCATGGAAGATTGATGTTAAAGAGAATAATGATTGTTCGTGACTATTGCGTGGACTATTATACAAAAAGAGAGAGAGAGAGAGATTATGCTTAGTAGACATTTATATACATATGTTAGAGACATTAACGAAGAAGAAAGACATATGTTTAATAGTGTAATTAGTTGAAGATGGCATCGAAGTAAAACTTACTTAGATAAATGGAACGATTGTTTCTGTCTATTTGACGGTAAAGATAATGACAATGACAGGAGAAGATTGGAGAATTCTTCGAGATTTGTACTTTCAGGATGCTTATCATTTGTCGAAAGGAGATGAAGTTGTACGCACTGCTTATTTGATAGACGATTTAGAAGATGAAATGTTATCAGTAGAGGACAAGATTGATGATCTAAACACGATTGTTTTAACTGATCGAATGTTTCAGTTGAATAATCACTGGGTAATATAACAAATTTGCCTAAGAAAAAACACACACACACACACACATTAAACAATTACCTATACTGTGATTCGATTTTCACATACCTCTCGATGTCAGATTATCACTTGCGAATTCTTGGATGCTAACACGAAGAATTAGATTTTGATCTTGTTCGACAGTGAAACGATGTAGAGAAGTTAATGTCAATGATATCAGAGTAGTTTGCAATTGAATAACTATAAAGAAAAAATATATCCTCACAGCCCAAAAATGTACATGTATTCTCTTTCACTTACTTTCACAAGATTGACCAGAGAGTATAATTAAAGTATTGATATAATTCGTTGTTAATCGCGAGATGTATTGCTCAAATATACATTCGCTAATGTTCGTGGTCTGTTCTTTACAAGAAAAGATCTGCTCGAATGGGTGCTGTTGCTTGTCATCTACTGGACACAAACATCGTAGACCGAGTCTAATCTAAACAGTGCGACACGTATATATATGTGTGTGTATGTATGTATATAGAATTATCATTATAATCATCATCAGACAGGAGCTTCTCGAGGGATATTATTCGTCTCAGAAGTCATTGTCAATTCGATTCGGACATAGACTTTCTACTGATGCATCCGTTTACTACTGTGTCCAGTCGATAGAGACAAAATTGAATGAACAGAGACCAATTATCATATTTGGTTACATCGGTCATCATGAAAAGAAGAAAAAAAGAAGAGAACTGTTGCTGTAATCGGCGTCTGTATCTGATTATGGACAAGAGGAAAGCACATACATATAACATCGATTTTTTTCCTTCTTCCTGCTTCTCTCTTTGGTTTTTTTTTATGATTTCATAATTGCTTTGTATAACATTCATTCAAGGATCATATTCAATTGATATCTATCTATGTAACGACGTAACAAGAGTCACGGGCTATTTGTCACACGTAGATGTGCANATATAAAACTTCTGTTCAACTGACTTACATTACGTATTCACTCACACATTTGGATGACGTGTATAGGTACAAGAGAGACAGAAAGAACGAACAGATTTAACATGTCGTCGAGTAGGACAAGATGTTGCCTTCAATGTGAAAAAAATGAACATATCACGAACGAGAGATTCATTTTTAATTCTTCTGATCATGTGCTTAGATCGTAGCATTTCCCCTTGTCTCTAGCTTTTGTACTTCGATAACAAAAACTGTATTAAAAATCGATTACATACTCTTGCACAATTAGACTTTCATACTCTCCAACTGTCGCTTACTTTCATATCGAGCAATCCTCTAGACATTCTACTCTTTCGGCATCAGAGAAAACGAGCCAATTCTTTCAAACATCATGTATACTGTTCTGCAGACAATACCAATAGGTAAAGACGTTTGGCTTTTCTAAACGAAGGTGAGTCGCGTCAAGATTTTTGTCTTCGTCATGTGACCTACATTAGACATGACACTCGTTGCACATCAACAGAGAACGTCAAAAGTATCAACAAATCCAAAAATATTGTTGAGAGTTCTTTCGTTAATGTTTTGTACTCGAAGAACATGTTGTGCTCGAGTCTATATTTTATCTATATTAAGTAAATTTTCATTAGCACATAACGCGATAAGTTCTTTTTTTAGTCGAGAATTTTTATTTCTCTTATTTGTATAAAGAAAACAAACAAAAAAAGATATTAAAATGCAAAAATATGAATCTACATTGTTAATTAAGTCTGACGCTTTGTTTGATGTTTTGTTCCGATAACGTTTATATTTTGAATGTCAAGTCTAGAAGGCTCAAACACGATTGGCTCTGGACTAAAGTTAACCGGTATCGATATTGGATGACAGTGAGCTTTCTCATCTGCACACGAGGGATGTGAAGCGTTGGGTTTCTTTCGAAACACTTGAGAAACAACGGACGAGTCAATATGCATAGGAACATAATGTGTTCCCGATGGGTGTAAAACGAATATGGGAACTTTGGTTTGCCTAGGATAATTCTCACCACCATCTATTGAAAATTGAACATCGCAGTCAGACTCAGTCATTGACTGTACGTCGGACACAGAGCACATTTGTTCGCCATGACCTGCAGATCGTGCTCGGGTTTTCAGAAGTGTTTTTTTCTCTGGTAGATCTATGAAAGAAAACGAACTTTACAAACGTTCGGTTTTAAGTAGATGTCTAACCGATTAAATTATTTAATTCGGTCTCTTTATTAGTGCTGTATTTCACGAAGTCCGGAAGGATTCGTTGATGAGACGGTTGCTTTTCGAAATGTTCGTATGCATCATATATACAATTGAGATAGCCAGAACGATACGCATTAAGTTTGATAATCGTTTGCTTTTCGGCATTCAGTGTGTCAGCTAAGTATGAAGTAATACATAGTAAATGGAAACACTCTCAGTCGATTCTTACCGGCTTTTTGGTTGTTTTCCAGTATTGTGTGAATGTATTTAATTGCCATTTCGATAATCTCCGTCTTTTCAATGCGTTTATGGTTCTATAACGGTGTTGTTGATGAAATGAATTGAAAAATGCGATATTTTACCTCGTCTTTTTGGTGAGGAACTAAATTTAAGAGAGTGCTCAAACTCGAATTCATTCGATCACGACGACGTTTTTCGATCAATCGATGCGGCTTCGGTGTCTAAAATATCAAACTAATTTCTCCTTTAACTCAATTGATGCGTGTCTCACTTTCAGCATTCTTTTCTTGTGTCGTTCATGTGCATTATGTTCGTCCTTCGTCGTGCTAGTTTTTGGCTCGCTAGGAAATAGAACAATTCGGGTAAAATCTCGATTTTCTTCTTGAAATCAACGCACCATACTGAACTATTGTAGTCGTCGAACATCGAGTCACAGTCGGAATGATCGTCCAGAATGATTTCTAAATGCGATGATGATGAATAGCGTCTGTCCGAGATCGTTGCGTCTCCAAGTGCACACTTTTGGAATGACATCGGCCAGAAATCTTGTGCAAAATAATACTATCGTAAATGAAGCAACAATACTAGAAAAGAAAATCAATATGTTTCAAAAGTACGATTTTATCTTGAATATAGCAAAAAGAACACGATATATACACTCATTCATTGCCGATAACTAATCATGAAACGTTTCACTAAGCTCACCTTTCTTGTTTCTTCTTTGTTGATGACATAGCTCTCTCCCTCGTGTGCATACAAAACTCGACCTTGGCTACGACAAAAATATGAATTTGAAAAAAATGTGCCCAAATAATATACCAAATAGAATAAAAAAGCATACACTCACGAGATAAAAGTTGTCTTCAAAAAGCACTCATCTTTTCTTTTCATACTTCAGTCTACGATGCAGTTTAAAGGGCTCAACTGTAACTATTTTGCTGTACATTGACAAGCATCTAGAATGAGTGCAGCTTAGGTACACTGTGTCATTCTATAGAAATACAGACTGTACGAGAAAAAATTCCGCTACTGATTCATTACCTCACGGTTTTAGTTTTCTTGACAGAAATACTCGCGTTGTGTATGGCACAGATAGCTTGTGAGAAAAAGAAATTTCTTCAATGTAAAAGTCAAGAGAGCTTCGGTTCTTTTACTCATTTAAATCGAACAAATGTCACTCCGACCGTTTCAATCGCTGCATGGCACGAATCGAGTTCTTTTGTCACAAACAATGTTATTCGTGTTTAGTCGCGACATTAATTGAATATTCAAATCTCAAATATAATTTTCCCATGAAAGCCCACTTCATAAAAATGGAAATGTTCGATTACGGACATGCAGTGTAAATATGAAATAGTGCAACTACGAACACATGAATGTGCACATTGAAAATGCAGGAGCATATTGTTTCTATTCTGAAACAATTCAACCGCTTGTTTTTCCTGGTAAAAAAAGATTTATTTCACAAGAAAAATAATGTGGTACTCATCTTGCATAGGTAATGATAATTAAAACGGGAAAAGCCTCATATTTACCTTTGATGGGTATTCGATAATGACAAATACTAGATTGTCCTATCGATTTTTCTTTCGCTAATTTGCTTTCTCTTTCACGACTGATATGTGTAAACATCGATTCACGTGTTCGAGTATAGAATGTCTATAGAACGTGAAAGCAGCGGATTAGAAAAAAAAAACTTCGCGGAATAAAATCGTTTGTTTCGCTACGGAACAGACGTTCAATACGATAACACAACGTAATCATTTCTGAAGGACAATAGAAGATTCCGGTCATAGGAACACAATTCTTTCTTTTCTCACATAACTGCCGTCACGAACGTATTTCCATTGTCAAGTTATTTTGCTGTCGTACATAAAATCTACCTTGACACGGTTTCAATGACTGGACAATAATTCACTAATTGCGCAGTTGTACATTGCTCTCCAAAGAAAGAAAAACTTACAGTAATCATATATTTTTAGATTAGCAAAGTGTACTTTGTCTACTGGCATGTATAGAACAAGTTTCGTATATTCAAGGTAATATTACACGCCATATAGTCATCGCTCCAACTTTCTTTTGTGGAGAACACGCGTGATCAATATCTTCGAATTAACTTTGATGTCGCACTACTTCTACCACTAGGCAAAACATGTTGATCTACTCCAGTAACCACATATACATAAATACGCACGTTTCTGAGCACGTCAGTGACCATTCGTTGTTCGACAGACGTGCTTTTATTAGACAAAAACATTTTTCGCGCACAGCTGGAATATCCTTGTGAAACGCGTATGTTGAGAGTGATTATTTGCTTTCTCCTGACCGTCTTATTGAAAAGTGCTATAAAAAAAAAGTACAAGGTTTGTTTAAACTTCGTTATACAAAGTGTGAAAATATATATCTATACGTATCACATACATTCAAAAATATCCATACACTCGTTAGATATAGTAAAATTTAGTGATCATTCTCTAAGATCGCACTATTTATATCACCAGTAGCATTTGCTAAAATTGGACGATCATCTTGAGGTTGAACAACATTGCGAAACTAGAAATATTGAATAAAAAACCGATTGAAACAAATTTTCTAATTTCTTCTCATACTTCACTACTGTACATCGTAGTTGTACTATAACGATATATTGACCATTCGCTTAATTCAATGTTAGCAACCATCTCTCGTTGTTTCATAGTAATAGAACCGCTTTCCAATGCACCGTGGAATCTGGCGCATTCTAGACCACTATCCCTGAGATCATCCATACGTCGTAACATTGGCCTTAACAAGTCTTTGAAAGCGCTCTTAGATGCTTTTAATCGTTGTAGGGTTGCATCAGTGACAGGTTCATGTTCATAACAGGTACACCGATCATGGTTTATAGGATCTTGACTAATCATGTATTCACTCCACCGATCGGAGATATTTTCTTCGTTTCCAATGAGGTATATTCGTATGGATGTTAGATTTTTTTTCAGAAAGTCGCAAATCTTCTTATTGTGTTCATCGACGAACGCTTTCTCTTTCTCTGACATTCTGTCAGAAAAATCATCTGAACATATATAATCTGAGAGTGTACAAACTCTCAGTTCGAAATCGGTCCCAAAAGTTGTCCCTATAATGAAATATCAACAATGTGTTAGAATCGAAATGAACGATATCTAATTACAAAATTCGATCATTTTTTGTTGAAAATCTAGAAGATTAGCTTGACTTGATTGAATCGGAATGATCAGTACATCACAAGCTTCGACCTAAATTTTAATTTTGTTACAAATTTCTTTCGTCAACAAAATTTCCTGAGTACTTTATCGTTTGTCTGCAGCCATCTTTTCAAACTATAAACATTTTGCTCAGTAACGGCTACGACGCCATTGAGATCAGTTGGAAGGGACTGCTCAGATTGAGATTCAAAAGTACGTATAGCGTGCCATGTCGTCGAATATGTGATACGACGTTTGGGAAGGTGGTATATGTCGCGCTGATTGATTAGATATTGATGGTATTTGTTATCACATACGAACGTCCGAGCTATATTTTTTAGACTTAGTATTCGATTCAGTACTGCTTCAAGAGTTTCACCGAATAAGGAAATCAAGATTAGAAAGTAGGACACGCTTTCTGGCTGACCATCGATAAATTCTTGCAGTTTTGCCCAAGAAGAGACGAATTTAACAGGTAACGGTAGGTTCCATTCATGCTTTTCAATACTCGACCAGTCACCATAAATAATTATTTTTATTTCGGAAAGCATAGTAATTATGCTTTTCTATTACTGAGATTGAAAACCGGTTGTCTTCCTCAGGATTCGAAGATTATTCGGCTCACTTTAACAATAACACAGAGTCTTTCAAGTCGTTTATCGCGCTGGTTTAAAAAAAAACAAAGCAAAACTTTCTTTCATCCGTCGCTATGTTGGAAAAAACCAATAAGGTACTCATCTTTTCAAAGAAGAACAAAAAAACGCGTTGGCGGTTTTTTTCATACATATTTCGTTTAATGAATAATCCCTCTCAATACATTCGTTTTTACGTTCTCTATGTCAAGAATTGTCCAGCTGTTCATCGACAACCTCCGTAAGTTTTTGTCTTGTAAAAACTGCAAGTGGGAAAACCCACAATCGCATTGCATGGGTAACTGCGTGCTTTGAAATCTCGATGTGATTTACATATACATAAACACGAGCTAACAAGAAAATCGAAATGAAAAACCGATACGGTTGGCTGAGCACGGTAGTTGGAGATGAAAATTATGATTAGAGATATTTTGAGTGATTCGTTGCTACTTATCATCAGTGACATCTGGTATATATCTGAAACTGAACCAATAGGAAGCTCTTCGTATGATTAATTGCCGCCAGACATGAGTCATAGTTTTTCACGAGTACTAAAATTCGATCGCCACAAGACGCCTCGCTTCTCGAATGAATCTTAATCATATTTACATAGAGCTATTCCTCTCGGTTACTCATTGATTGTATACATGTATATATACATATATAAGAACCTCGTTATCTTCATTTCTAGAGTAAAATGGCTACAATGAGTGCATTATTTCAAAAACTTAATCCAAGACCAGAAGCTACCGCTGCTAGTCTTAAACGCGAAGCAAATGATTATCTACGACGTGCAACTAATCTGGAAAAAAGTCAACAATACGATGAAGCATCTGTTCTGTACAAACGTGTGGTTTCCTTGATCAGTTCACATGAGAACACATCTGCTGTCGATGAAGAATTAAATGCAATGAAACGTGATGCCAATCAACGTTTACTTCAATCTTCATTGCAACAAAACCGATCAAAAGATTCCAACAGCATCTATCAAAATATGGTTCGCCAATTGTCAGATCATGTGCCGCAAACAATCAACGAGCAGGATTTAACCGAAATGGCTGAACAGGTTTTCGAAGATCCGTCAGCATTCGAACCAGTCACTTCAGATATGACACCAGAGAATAGCAATGCAACTGTTTTGTTTCAGTTAGATGAAGGAGCACGACTATTTTATATAGCGAAAGATGGATCAATTCAAACTACATCTGAATCTTTACCATTGACAATATTCGAAATGAGGTATGCTATTCGAAAAAGGCAACTAAATCAACTCTATGTATACGTATGCATTTTAGCGAAGGAGGTGAAACATGTGGTTTATTGAAACTAGGTAGTTGGATCTATCCACTACATCCAAAAGTATCTCCATCATTCAAAACTGGCTATGATGCGTATATCTTTCCGAACAATACATCCATTGGTAAGGAAATCAGAAAAACAAAGAGTTTTCTCGTCTAGCAAAATTCGTCTTCATAGGAGAATTTGTTGGTCTTATGTTCGATGAATCGGTTGTACCAGATATTCGTCATTTCTTTGAAGATGTTCTCTCGAAACTTTCAGTTTTCATGGCTCAAAACGGTACACCAACAGTACGTGTCTTTATATGTGTGTGTGCCTATTTGAATCTATTTATTGATTTAGTATGGCGAGTCTCTAACTGCTGCTTCAACAAGTGGCGCTGTCAAATTAGCTGAAAAATCGGCAACGAACAAGCCGGAATTGGTTGCAACAGTTTCCCGTCAGACAAAGGAAGCATCGACTAGAAAAGCTGAAATCATCGGCGAAGAAGAAGCTGCTGTTGAAGAAGAACTTCCTTATGATACAAATACAGCAAGTGGAAAACTTGCCGCAGCACTTATTACTGGTACAATTTCACATTTTCATTTTCTTTTCCTATGAATGCCTTGTTTAGGAACGAAATTTTTAACAAAGCAATTAGCAACAGGTGTTGTTATGGCTGAAAACTTAATCGAACAAGTATCCAAAAATGTTCACGATAAAATCGTACCTAATGCTGAACCAACAAAAGTCAGTAAAGGCTTACACGTTACCGCTCGTGGTTTACGTACTACATCGGGTGTAGCCGTTAAAGCAAGCACCTATGTTGGTAAGAATGACAAGAGAACTTTTTGATTTGGATTTATCATAATTTCTTTATAGTATCGAAAGTTGGTTCGATGACATTGGCATTGGCACGGACATTCGCTCCGAATCTTGGTAAAGTCGAGAAAAGAGTTAAACCAGATGGTACAATCGAAACGGTTAAATTAAGCGGTCTCCGAGGTGTTGGACACGCTGGATTAATCAGTAAGCTAGAATAATTATTCGAATCCTATTTGACATTTAGATTCGATGTGTTTTTCTCTTTTTTTCAAAAGGTTTCGGTGTTATTTATGAAAGCTGTGAGAATGCCGCAAAACACTTGGCAGCGAATATCGCTAGTGAAAGTGTCAGTGTTGTTAAGCATAAGTAAGAAAGTAACTTGTCTCGTGTCGTTAATCATCGTGTATTTTGTAGATACGGTGAAGATGCTTCAGTTCTAACTGAAAATGCAGCATATGCAATTGGTAATAGTGCATTAACAGCATATTATGTTGGAGGACTTGGTCCAAAATCCGTAAGAAAAGATTGGCTTTGACTTTGCATATTTGTGATTGTTGTTATTTTTCAGATCGCCCGGAAAGTAGTTAAACAAACAGCGCAACAGACGGTGAAAAACGCTTTCTCATAAACTATGCACAGTTTGAGAATGATCGATCTTTTTCGTATTTTTATTTCTATTACCCCAGCATTTCAATTTATATGTACTTGTATTTTTTATTCGATGTAGAACAAAAGGGATTCGATAAATAAACATATATACGCATACACTCAGATAATAACTCGACTTTTCATTCTCATATCGGTAGCGTGAAAATATATATGCCGTAAAGTCACGATCGATGTTATGTTTGGTTGTATGCGACATCTATCGATAATGTAAAATTGATGAAAAAATTCTGTTGTAAATCATGATTGATACTGAAAAATAAAATCGAATTATGATTTATATAAACGAATCTTTTCGAATATCGAGGAGGAGTTAGAAGAGTTTCTAATTGAATTGGAATCAATATTAGCCAGTCAATGAATCAACTGAGTCATCATTATTTTTAACTGAAACAATTCATTCATCTTATTCGCAGTTTTCCTTGAGAATTTTCAAGCTGAAATTCATCTATACACATATATGTCTTATTCTAGATCTTCGGTCAGACAATGACTCGTGTCAAATGTTCACAAATACGTGGCAAAAAGCCCGGTAAGGATCTCTAAATACACATCAAATCGTCATTGATTGGTTATTTTCTTTCAGATGAACTTCAAAAACAATTAGTAGAATTACGTCAAGAATTGAACACTCTCCGGGTTGGTAAAGTCACTGGCAGCGGTGGTGCTCAAAAACTTGGCAAAATTCGCAATGTTCGCAAATCGATCGCACGTGTCCTCATTGTTACACATCAAACAACCAAAGACAATTTACGTGCCTTATATCATGGCAAGAAATACAAGCCAAAAGATTTACGACAACGCAAAACACGAGCTATTCGACGTCTGTTGACACCCAAGGAGAAATCGATTCGATTGAAGAAAATTCAACGACGACAATGGGCTTTTCCACAACGCACATATGCTGTTAAAGCTTAAAATAAGAAGAGAAAACCATTCGCGTGAGAAAAAAAAAGAAATTCAAACATAGAAAAAACATCGTTTCGATGCTTTTTGTCATCCATTGTTTAAGATCAAGTTCAATAAAAATAAAAAACAAACAAACGTATTCTGAGCACTTTTTTCTTTCTTTTACCTGTCATCAGAAAAATCCGAAGGTGAATCTTTAGATATATCACAAAAGTTAACAGACAATCGTATGTGAATAGACAAAAGGAGAGAGCGAAAAAAGAAAGTTGGGCCTGACCGGTGATCGAAACCGGAGCCTCTCGCACCCAAAGCGAGAATCATACCATTAGACCATCAGGCCATGTCAATTCAAGCGAAACGCATGATCACCATCAGGCCGACCGCATGGCTTCTATCCTTCTTTGTTGTAACTCAAAATGCCGATTTTGTTCCAGCTCTGAACACTTCCACGAAGCAAAAACTCACTCTTCACACATGAATGACCGCTGTGTTGAATAAATATATATATATATATATAAGATTACATAAAGATTGGTTGCACCGCAAGTACAGATGACAAAATAGAATTATTAGTTTTTTATGAGGTCGACACAAACCTTCGCGTTTCTAAACTACGAAGCTTTAACTTATAAATGATGAAAAAGAGAACTCGCTGGCTTTCCGATTCTATTGTTCCAAAATAATTCCGTTCGTTAAATAGTAAATGATCTGCTTAGGTCATCCATTGTCTCGTTTCTAGTTTTCAATTCATGTCATATGACTTTATACTCTCACATATAAATGCATTGCACTCCTATTCATTCGTTTCTAAGTCATGAACGCCACTATCGGAGATCGTCTATCTTTTGTCAATCCCATTGCTGTCAATCGCTGCTACCAAGTTGGCTATTCCATTCTGTTTTTACTTGGTTTTCCAGGTAATCTAGCTAGTCTGTTCACTTTCTCACGAGCGTCACTGCGAAAACTGTCAACAGCATGTTTGTTCATTGCTTTGGCAATCTTCGACACACTGTATTTATTCATGTGTATCTTTGACTATCTCGAATTCGGTTTCTCGGTATGATGAATAGCTTCGAACAAAAGACTAATGCTCTCTTGAAAATGATTTCTTGACAGGTTTCGCTTTATGGTCGACTTTCGTACGGTGAATTTTGCCGATTTCGGTATTTCGTGATGCATGCTGCTCAGTTTGCTTCCGCGTGGATCTTAGTCGTTGTTTCTATCGACCGGTGGGTTCGCACGCGATTTCCATTCAAGTCCAATCTAATATGTACGCCAGCAAAAGGACTGATAGCAGTTGGTGTTGTTCTGATCATCGATGTCGCCTTACATTTCCATTTGCTTACACGCTGGTTTGGAATGCTTGTTCCTGGTTTAGCCATCGCTGCATGTGGACCATCTTTCGCCCAACAATCATATACAATCTTCTATTTCATGTTCTGGAGTATAATTCAAGTTAGTCGAAGGTGAAGTGCTGATTTCACTTGATCGCTCTTTGTCCATTTAGATAATCACTACATGTATAATTCCAGCAATGATTATGTTCTTCATCGTCATTGATATTTTGGTCAGTGTTCATGTTCGTAAACAAGCGTTTGTTCGACCAATTCATGCATTCGCAGTTGGTAGGAATGCTCAACACAGAAGAGCAGTTAACAGACAAATGCTTATACTGACAATCGGAAGTGTTTGCTTCTTCTTTGTAACGGCACTTCCTGTTGGCATTTATAAGATTATCTCACCGCGAGATTCAAATCTAATCAACAACTATCTGTCGATCATAACCATATGGACAGGTCTTGGATGGCTTCAAAGTCTGTTTCACGCAGTGAGTCAATGAACGAAGTACTTTTGAACAACTTGTGTGGATCTCTTTTCAGGTGAACTTTTACGTTCATTGTTTGTGTTCAAATTTATTTCGAAGAGAATTTCAATTGCAAGTGAAATATATGGTTGGCCAGAAAGAAACTCGAGTACAGAAAATTGAGATAGTGTGTCGAGAATGAATGGTAAATATATTTTCCATTGTCATGTACTTTTTCCAAATAAATCATTTCTTTCAATATCTTGACTTCTGATTTCCTCGTCAGATATAACAGGGTTCATTGATATTTTCTACTTTAAAAAAAAATATTGTTCTTTCATTGTCAATCCGTTAATCATCATTTGATTGGTAAACTATCAAGTTTTTCATGATCAGCAGTACGGAAAATGTTTGTTTATGATTTTCCCTACTTCCTCTCCGTCGCATTCACTAATGTGTGTTTTCGATCATTTCGAATCCGGTGTTTCGGTAATCGCTATTCATTCCGAAGAGAAACATCATTTTTACTCCAAACTACTCGGTGTTCTCACTTCGAACTATAGGTAACATTTGTTTGAATTCTACGATACTTTGTCAGGAATTGAAATAACAGATGAAACAATTTTCTCATAATGATCGAGATTTGAAAAATGTTTAGAGAAGAAATCCTCCAAGCTCGCATAACAATGATGATTCACTAGAACTTCACCTATGCCAAAGATAAACATCGCTTTCTCTTTCTCTCTACGAGTTATTTAATCTTGTCCTCCATTACTAATAAGATTCATATCTAACTG